GACCACCGGTTCATCATCCGTGGTCTTCTCGTCGGCAGTCTCTTCGCTGCAAGATTCATCCTCGCAAGATTCACTTTCGGACACCGGATAGATATATGGACATGCTCGGCAAGTAAGATAGTTTTGGAATACCTTAGCTGAATCGGTAGCACGGGGCAAGATGGCCAAATAGCTAGCACAATTTGGGCAAACTGGGAAAATCAGTCATCTTCCAGATAAAGGCCTAGTTCGGTATTCTCACACTCCGGTGGTCGTATTGAGGACGGGACACGGTGTGACGACATAGTGAATAGCGTTAGGCTACTTCTCAAATGATGAGGGAAAGAAAAGAAGATGGTAAGGGTATGTTATGAGCCTTGTGGGCGCTCAGCGCAAGAAATCGTAGTCGTGGGAAGAAGCCAAGGCAAGTTCTCTTCTTTTCCTTACATGCAAAAAAAGCCCTGAGTGACATCTTCTAGGCAGCATTAGACGAATAGCAGCTTCCCTCTTTAACTAGTTGATCTTTTCTCCTCTCCTCCCCCCCCCCCCTCTCTCTAGTTAATAGTTCAACTAAAACCTACGCTATAAACAGAATCGGTGCTATCAGAGTGGCAGCTGCCATCTACACCGGCTCGTGTGAATTTTAATCCAACCACGAAGGTTGGGTCGAATATTGAGCTTGAAGAAAATATTGAGGCTTGTGAGGATGAGACCTATTCATCGGTGCAGTTTCCCTGGCCTTGGTGGGAATTTTGTTCTACCATGGTGAGCGCCGTTTTTTAACTCTTTTTTCGTGGCAGGGTTCGAATCGCGCTGAAAAATTCAGCTAAACACGTTGAAAATGCTAGAAAGAATCCTCAACTATTGCAATTGCGGGCTATTTGGTCGAATGGGAAACTCCAACAAAACAAAGCAGGTCGCATTGAGATGAACAAGCCGAAGCATCTGTCAACATGTATGACGCCATAGCACCAGATATCATCTATTGACCAGCCCCGTGAAATATACTAGAATCCTCAAGGCACTAACTTGAGGATGCCTCAATAGAATCGTGGTCCTTCTTCCTTTGAATCTTTACAGAAATTACTTTTATGACAAAAGCCATGATCAGGATTCTCAGCCAAATAGGTGCCTGGGTGCCTGAGCAAACTGTGGGGTCAACCCATCGACTCTCACAAATAATTTAACCCTCACCCCGCACGAGCTTCAGGTTCTCCAACCGGCACAATGCCTTTAATCCCCGAAAATCAAGACCTCGCGGAGGAAATTGAAGCCATAAACGCCATCTACGAGCCCGACACTATAATCGTTACCCGCAAGACCCCCGCAAACGCGACAACCAACAACACACTCGACCTGGGGGGTTCTGCGCACTCCAACAAGAACATCCATACTACAGTGGTCACCCTCCAAATCCCAGAACAAAATCACCTATCCTTCATCCTCGGCTTTGAAGCCTCATATCCAGACTCCCAACCAGCCGTACTGGGAACAGCCTCAACAGCTGCACGCGGGGAAGGCAAGATCGCCATCGATGTATTAGAGGATATCATACAGCGGACCTGGCAGGCCGGCGCCGTGTGTCTGTTCGATGTAATCAGCGAAGCTGTGGACAAATTCCCAGAATTGAGCATCGGGCAGGACGATGTCGGGGACTCGTCTGTTCAGACTCCAAATATCGACGCGTCAACCGCTACAGAAGCCTTTGAAGCTTTGTCCCTGCGCGACACGTTCAGCCTCGATGCCCCACCAGGATGGATCCTCTCCGACGTGGTCTCTGAGAAGAAATCGGTTTTCGTGGGCCGTGTTGCCCGTGTTACGTGTCTAGCGCAGGCGCAGGCATTTATTAATCATCTTACGGCGACGGATCGGAAGGTCGCGGCCGCGACGCATAATATAAGTGCTTGGCGCATTCGGCAGAGGAAGGCTGGGGATGGGGAGGGTGGTGAGACTGTCGTTCAGGACTATGATGATGATGGGGAGACTGCTGCTGGGGGTCGGCTGTTGCATGTCATGCAGTTAATGGATGTGTGGAATGTTGTGGTTGTTGTAACGCGGTGGTATGGGGGTATTCAACTTGGTCCGGCGCGGTTCCGGCTCATTAATGATGTTGGTCGTGATGCTTTGGTTAAGGGCGGGTTTACCAAGGAGAAGGAGGAGGCTACGAGTGCGGAGAAAGGGAAGAAGAAGGGCAAAAAATGAAGGGACTAGTGACCTCTCTGATCATTTTGGATGCTCGGGCCCCTGGACACGAATTCTGCACAGATATGGAGGATGTTGGCCCGTGCGAAGCGGAAAAGATATGGGATGAAACGCCCGAGCTTACATGACCAGGGTACTTGATGGAACCCCAAGCAGGCACCAATCGCACTAGACTTGCGGACACCAACTTCCCTCTGGAAAATTTTTTTGGGATTTTATGTCTATCCTACGATTTACCGCTCTGGGAAAATTGTGTGACCAATTTCAACGCTGTCTACAGACTACTGTCGACAGGCAGTGCTTGTACCTCATCGAACACTAAGAAATTCTCTTGAATCCTGTGAGCTGGAAGCTACAGCGGCATTCTTGGATATGTTTGCAGCCCAAATTCAGGGCTGTCGAGTCTGCTTTGGCGCCCACGATTTGGTCCGTGTGACATGCGTATAGCACGGCAACTTACAACCGCCACGAGCGACATAAATGGCCACTTTGGCAAAATCACATTGACTGTCTTATATAGAAATATTCAATGGTAAACGCTAACAAAAACCCGAAGTTTGCATCAACACGTCCACATATCGATATCAAGTATTTTGATGTGTAGTTTCCTGCAGCTACGGCAAACTGATCATGTGCATGCTTATTTAGCCCAACTCACAGTTCCTATTAAACAGCACTTTTAAAAATTTCCTTAGTTTACCAGTAAAATTCGACATTTTAGTCTTTTTCTGGAGCAGATGTCAAGTTTAGTCGTACATGATAGGACAACGACGGGCTGTCTGGTCTCCAAAAGCTACTGACGTTTGTAGAAGATGAAACACTGCCGGTACTTAGATCACAATAGCCATGCACAGGCAAAGAGTGGAGAGCGCTAGATAGTTTGGTTATGAAAGACTAGAGTTTAGTGGCTATAAGTGACAAGGATAAACACTGGAAGAATGATGCTCAGGCGAGAGTTTGCAACACAGTAGGTCAATAAATATTTCGTTCGATTTGCATTTCAAGACGAACCCACCAGATACTACCATGGTATACGACAGACAAATGGACGAGCCACAGCGACGCCAATTAAGAACCTGGATTGAGTCTCCCGGATTTTTATTTTCGAGATCGCAAACGCAGGTCCCTATCCTCGTGCTAGGCTAGGCCAGCCGAACATTACGGTCCATTCAAAATTACAGGGAGTGCTAGCCCGGTGGTTCCCGTTTACGTCTGGGGATGTAGATTATTTCTTTGGGGAAATGTGATCACGAGCTTTGTACGGAGTCCTCGGTAATGGCTTCCATATAGTTTTTAGCGGAGATGAAATACAAGCATATTTGGTTGAGCTGTTATGACTCACGTCTGTAGAATTACTAATTTAGTATACTTGACATCGGAGAGATCTTGGAATTCAAACTTGACACACTCCGTTCGGAGATGTCATACTTTAGTTACCTGGTTGAACTCATTTTTTAAATGTCAAGACTTGGCAAAGAAGACTTCTGTACTGAGCACCACCCCCCTCCACACAAATGCGGGTTTGGGATAGATTGGACGAACGCTGAGCAGAGGATGCCCACTTGGATACTTCGTACACGTTGTTTGACAGCGTCATAGGCTTAGGCACAAGTCGAAAGGGCTATTAATGGGCACTGCGGAGTAGGTCGTACGGAGGCGAACATGAAACACACCTGTCGACGTTCGTAATAGGCAACCTAAGAAGCGCCCTAAAAAAAAAAAGGAACTAGGGCGGCTACTCCGCACAACGACAGCCAATCCACAAGAATGTCGTGTGCCAGCGGTTGATGGTGCGACAAATCCAGGGGGTGGGAAAAGTCTTGTACCTTTCAGTCTGTGCGGTGGTTGGCTCTTTTCCAGCCCATCGCCCTAGTCTAGCGGGTATCTGCGAGGTGTCTCTCGGGTCTTCCTACTGGCCATCTTTTGGTTTTCAACTGGCTTTCAGCTTTTGACCGTCTTAATATTCGAACCTCAGTGGACGAAATGGAAAAACATGACTTCTGAAACATCCCCTCTCCTCCTTGACCTTCTCCACCCTTCAGGTCTGTGGATATACGCACACGTCAACCAAGCGAATGTCTCTGCACTTCCGGAGATCCCACCAAGTTTTTGCCATTTGCGTAGAGTTAGGCCATTGAGAGACTGAGACTCGGGATTTTCGACATCCTTGAAGATCCCGAGAGTAAACCCCACATCTTTATATATATAATCCCTGACGCCAACGGTGCATGGCATTTCTCTTCTTTTCTTCTTCAGCACATTCCCTTTTTTTCTTTTCTTGATTCCATCAATTCGGCATTCAGGCTAGACCTGTGTCGCTTTCCTTTTCGCTTGATTATTTTGCCTGTGGCAAAATAACTTACATTCCTTTTTTTTGAAGCCCATCTTTTGACACAACTACAAATCAAAGAGCCCATCGCCATTGTTCATCAACAAAGAGATTGGAATAGCACCCGACGAATTTGAAGCAGTTTGTTTCGTTCACTCTGCTACAAAGGTATTGTGTTGCTGCCTTTGTTTTATCGTTGCCTCCGATCTATATACGTCTGATCCATTGTGGGAGATCTATGATCTATTGTTAAGACGTATATGCCTTGCCATAAATAAGACCATCAATGAGATACTGTCGATTTATATACTCCTGAACACGTCATCTTACCTTTTGCAATTTCAAGTCTCTCATCACAACACTAACGTTCCACTACAAGATCTATTCCCTTTGACATCTGATTCCATTCGTCTGGCACGAATCGATTCCAGTTGCAACACTTATCTGTCGAACCAGATCTTAAACAACCCCAAAAGTTCAATCATCCAAGATGTTCCTCGCCTCCAAAGTGATCGCTGCCCTGATAGGCGCCTCCATGGCCAACGCTCACATGACCATGAAAACCCCTACGCCTTACAGCAAGGACAGTCTCAACAACTCGCCTCTGGCAGCAGACGGTAGTGACTTTCCCTGCAAGCTTCGCGAGAACACCTTCGAGGCCCCCTCCACCGAGACGATCATCGCCATCGGCGAGTCTCACCCTCTGACTTTCATCGGCAGCGCCACCCACGGCGGTGGTTCTTGCCAAATCAGTCTGACTTCCGACTTGAAGCCCTCCAAGTCTTCCGAGTGGAAGGTCATCAAGTCCTTCGAAGGTGGCTGCCCTGCCAATGTCGAAGGCAACATGTCCGGCGGCGCCGACGTCGCCGATCCCTACACTTTCAACTTCACCATTCCCGACGGCATCTCTGCTGGCAAGTACACTCTCGCCTGGACCTGGTTCAACCGTATCGGCAACCGTGAGATGTATATGAACTGCGCACCCATCACTGTCTCGGGTGGCCCCTCTAAGCGCTCCACCGAGGAACTCGACAGACGCGCTGCCAGCTTCCCGCCTATGTTCGTCGCAAACATCAATGGCTGCACTACCCCTGAGAATGTTGATATCCGCTTCCCTCAGCCAGGTGACTATATCGAGTATGATGGTGAGTCGGCCAACCTCGCCAAAGAGGGCTCCAAGGCTTGCACCGGTACCGCTACCTTTGGTGGCTCCGGGGAAATTGGCCCCTCAGGCTCCTCTAGCTCTACCTCTTCCTCTGCCCCCACAGAGAGCGCTTCCGGTACAGCCGCCTCGGCATCCACGGCCCCAGTTCCAGAAGCTACTCCATCGAGCGCACCCGTCGAGCCCGAACCCGCATCCACTTCAGCAGCTGCTCCAGCTCCTGTGACAACCTCTTCACCCTCTAGCCCTGGATCCACCTCTAGCTCTAGTTCCGGTGCCTTGACGGGTAGCTGCAGTACTGAGGGCCAGTGGAACTGCATTTCAGGCACATCCTTCCAGCGCTGTGCTTCTGGCACATGGTCCACCGCTCAGCAGATGTCAACTGGCACGCAGTGCAGTGCTGGTCAGAGCGCGGAGCTTGTTGTCACTGCCAGTAAGAAGGCACGTCATGTCTCGAGTATGCGCTTCCGCAACCGTGCCTTCGGCGCTCACTACGCTCACGCGCTAAGTTAGATCCGCAATGTGACCCGCTGGCTTCGGATGTTGCACACTTTCTCCCATGCTTTTTTATGATCATTTGACTTTTTCTTTTCTGCCTGGCTGGCCTTTTTACTCTTCAGTGCATCGTGTGTCCTTTTCTTCCTGTAAATTTAGGAGACGAGGCTAGGAGATAGGACATCTCATAGGTTTTCAAATAAAACGAACCATTTTGTAAACTGGGTGGCTCGATAATGAAATGTATGTAGTCTAGGAGTCGTATCAGTAGTCTGTAGAGCTTGGTGCACAAAAAAAAGGGGTTTGTCAATGCTCATCTGGAAGCTTAGTAACATAGAAGAAGTACGCTGCAATAACGACTACCTGCTGCTCGACCGCAACGACTTCAACGGGTCTTGATGACTTTCTTCTCTCCTAGATGGAGGATGTCCTGCAATGTGGACCCTGGGGAACTACGAAGAGCAAATCTATCAAGCCTTGAGATACAGACTCGGTTTAGATTGCCCAAGTGAACTTGGTGGATGACTTGGATGTTTAAGATCACACTTGACAGATGCCTAGGTGGATGCCCAGGTGTAGACCCACTTGCGTGCCCCACCCGATAGCTCCGATTAGATAATGGTTGTAAATTTGCGCTAGCCCACATATGGAAGGAAGGGCTTAGGGTTCGCCGCCCCACCGCATTTTCTCACTAAGCGAAAAAATCCACACCCAGTTGTGAAGCCCCCCGACTCAGAGAGATTGGATCTTCAACCTCACCTCGACACCGACCAGCAACAATGGCCTCTCGCCCGACTGTCTCGATCGCCACGGCTGCGGGCAAGCCCTCCGGGGCCTCCCACCCCCTTCCCACTGTGTTCTCTGCTCCTATCCGCCCGGATATTGTCCAGTATGGCTCGCCAAAAACCTTGAAGGATTAAAAATCGATGGAGGGGAAGTGCTGACCGTCGCTCTACAGGCATGTTCACACTGGTATGGCCAAGAACAAGCGCCAGCCCTACGCCGTGAGCGAGAAGGCTGGTGAACAGACCTCCGCTGAGTCCTGGGGTACCGGTACGTTGTTTGGCACATTTTTCGGGATTGGAAGGATCGGATCCGAGTTCGCGAAAAAAAAAATTTGCGATCATCGAATTCTCCACTGTCAAGGACAATAACTGACTGGATTGCCCTACGTTGAATAGGTCGTGCTGTCGCCCGTATTCCCCGTGTCTCCGGTGGTGGTACTCACCGTGCCGGTCAGGCTGCCTTCGGTAACCAGTGCCGTTCCGGTCGTATGTTCGCCCCTACCAAGGTCTGGCGCAAGTGGCACCAGAAGGTCAACGTTGGCCAGCGGTATGTGGAATCCCATTGGAGGACTTGAACACCCAGAGAATGCGGAGGAACTGATAATCTCGCGCCCATAGTCGTTTCGCTACCGCCTCCGCTCTGGCTGCTTCTGCCTCCCCTGCTCTGCTCTTCGCCCGCGGTCACCGTGTCGCCAACGTCCCCGAGGTTCCCCTCGTCGTTGAGTCCAAGGCCGTTGAGTCCCTGAACAAGACCAAGGCTGCCATCGCCCTCCTCCAGGCTGTCGGTGCTGGTCCCGACCTCGTCAAGGTCCAGAAGTCCCGCAAGATGCGCGCTGGTAAGGGTAAGCTCCGTAACCGCCGCTTCCGCCAGCGCCGCGGACCCCTGGTTGTCTACAACCCCGAGACCGACGGCAAGGACCTCGTCAAGGCCTTCCGCAACATCCCCGGTGTCGAGACCTCGCCTGTCTTCTCCCTCAACCTCCTCCAGCTCGCCCCCGGTGGTCACCTCGGTCGCTTCGTCATCTGGACCTCTTCCGCCTTCCAGGCTCTTGACCAGGTCTACGGCACCACCACCAGCCCCTCGGCTCTCAAGCGGGATTACCTTCTGCCCTCCAACCTGGTGGCCAACGCTGACCTCACCCGCCTTATCAACTCCTCCGAAATCCAGTCCGTTCTCAAGGCTCCCAAGGGTGAGGCCCGCACCAAGCGTGTCAACGTCCAGAAGAAGAACCCTCTCCGCAACAAGCAGGTCATGCTCCGCCTCAACCCCTACGCCGCTGCCTACTCCAAGCAGAAGCTTGGCCAGCAGTCCGTCGAGGGTGGCAAGCCTACTGCTCCTGCCGAGTCCTTCCTCAGCACTCTCTACGAGAACTAAGCGGGTCTTTCTTTGTCCCCCTGCTATTTCTTTGTTAACTGTTTCGTTGGCAAAATGGTAGTCAGCAAAAATGAATCAATGCCTTTTTTGCAATACCCATGGGTCTATTTGGAGTAGTAATGTGATCGGTTTCCATGTTGTTCTAAGTGACCCTCTAATTCTCAGTATCTTGCATGGTAAGTTGTTTAAACTGTAAATGGGCCGAGGATCATGTTCCCCCATGGGTAGTTGGTTACTCTACCCGATTTTCCTCGATTGTATAGCACTCACTAGTCGTGGCTGGATCATCGTTTATATGGGAGTGCATGTGCCAGCGCTTCTGCTCACCACCGCCTGTTGTTCCCAACCGAAGCGAATCATTGGGAACACCGCTCGGAAATACACACCTTCTCTGTAAGGTTAAAGTGACCATGGAAAAGAACTAGATCCATCTTCATCGCACAGTGGCCTGTCCAGTGAAACCAATTACCTGTCTCCTACGGTTCACCCGTCGCTCGCTCGGCAACCGTATAAAATTGCCGCCAACTCGCCCGTCTATATGCTGTACAACATACGTCATGGTTGCGGAAAATGTCCGCCGCGCAACCAGGTGTCTGGTTCCGCACGACACAACATGGCAGGGAGGGCTTCATCATTCCTCTCTCAATGAACTTACTGTCTTCGCAACTAGAAGCTAGATATAACCTCGGAACGGTAGGGTTTAAAAAAAATTGTAGGATATTTCTGAAACACACATACACGTTCTTTATGTATGAACCACTGCACAGGTGTTTTGAACCTTGCAAAAAAAAATTCATTGAAATGAATTCCTTTTAAAGATTCGAGCACAATCCGAGCAGACAACTTGATTCCATCTCGTCAACACAATAAACCAAGTTCCAAGGTTCTGATTTCCAAGGTTCGGGCATATGCATATGCATATAAAAGCCAATTTGATCAAGGCAACCATGGACAGAGGTGCGGCTCCTTTTCTTCCATTGTAGGAAAATCTTCGAGGACTCAAAGTTTGAAGTGCACAACCTGCTGTGTACTACTTTGATAGCCTAATCTATATCACCTAAATTGGGGTGGATAAATTTGTCGATGTTGTATGTCAAGATATTCACTGTAAAATCATTTGCTACGAGCTTCTTCGTAGCCCACGACTTAGTGCCTAGGTATAAACTCTAAACTCAATGCAAGCAAATGGAGGGAATCCTAATTAATTCATGCATAATGGCAGGCAGGCCGGGTAAAGTCAAGTGAAACATACATTATGTCTTGCTGAGCTAGCGCGAGCGGTTACCGACTTGACAGCGACGCCATAAAACGTAGCTTATGGGATATTATTAGCGTCCACGGGTACTAGTTATTGAGACTCGGCATTTATGGACAGACACTCACGGGAAACAGTCATTAAGGTTCGGCATTGAAGGAGAATCAAGATTTAAAAAAAAGAAAGAGGGCGATTGAAGCATTACGCAAGCTGAAACACGGGATATTACAATTAGACAAAGAAGCATTTTAATCTGTCTTGATCCGCTAGCTTCATATGCCACTGCTTCCAATATAATTGACTTTTCGTGTGCCCCGTTCGTTCCTCATAACTAAATACATAGCTCTTCAGGCACAAGCCCTCCGTGCATCGTCAGAACATCAACAGTTGTACGGAGTATACAACATGGAGAACAGGGTTTGCCTAGAATCTTTTCTTTTCAAGTTTGTGTTTGCATCCTGCAAATGAAATAGTGTGCAGGATTTCTACCTCCAGTGTTGATAGTACTACATCTATGAACCCCTCTCGGGCTAAACTATCACGGAGTATAAAGTGCAAAGCAAGTGCATCAGAAATGCCAATGTCAAAGCCGATAATCGTTTGGGCGAACACCGTGTTGGCCGTCGAGCACGGAGATCAGGGACGTGCCAGTGCAGATTGCCAAGAAATCCGTCAGGGTCCGCAGCTGATAGTTGGAGGCACTTGGGAGCGCTAGGTCCTACGTCAGTTGAGGGTCATTTTTCATTCTGCATGTTGACGCTACTGATCCGACTGGCTGGGAGGTCATTACGTTCACTAGGTACTTATGTTGATAGTTACCTAAGGGTGTGCATCATTTTCAAAGACGTTGGGTTTGAGGTCTCACGTTGGGTACCCAGGAATGGATCCATGGGCACCCATGGACACAGTACAGAGTAGGTAATACACAAAAGGTCCCGGTGGGATAGAGACGTTTTAGTATTCTATAAAAATTGAGTTTTTTATGTATTTCTCTACTCCGTACTCCTCAGTAAAGTTAAATTTCTATGCAATATCGTTTGGGAACAAATTAGCCGAGAGATCCTGAAAGGTTCAAGCTGTGCGATCAAAGGGCAAAATTATCCGATCTCGCGAGGAAACGTGAAAAAAACATGAAAAAAAAAAGAAAAACGGCCAAAGAGCGGTCTCGGTAAGATCAGCCGAACAGACAAGCTGCACAAGTAGGAGAAAAACCTAATGGAACCTTGTACGGAGTACGGAGCACGGATACTTGGGTACATAAACGCCTGGGTGATTTCGTGCTGGACTCTATTCGCAGATCATAGAGCGGATGCTTGTCTGAGTATAGGCATGTCTCACTTGAGCACCTAACACGAATCGGATCAGGGGTGCAATGCGTGTTGGCGCTGTCGGGAATCAATTTACTCACGCCGATGCAAAACATGATGCAGTACTCCGAACGAATAGTAATGTTGCAATATATCAATGTCCAAGAGATTTAGCACACGGTGGCTTTGTGGAATTATGTATCCTTGTACTTCGTACACAATGGGAAGTGAAATTCTGTCAAATTTTTGATGTCTTTTTCCATACATAGCACACCATTACTTGTATAATGGTTTGATAACCTTTTACAGAGTACAGAGTAAGAATGACCTGAACAAACTGAATAATCTGAATAAACTCAATTACCTTGTGTGGAGCATCATACGGGTTGTCTCAAGCCCTTTTATAGAACTGATCTAATTGGACTTTTATGCGGATTATTCATCCGCTCGTCCAAACTTTTTGGAGGCTTCGGTATTTATTCGGAGAAACTAGTTACCGTGAAAAGGAGGTTCCCATGGAGGAATTGACTTCTCTAAACTGCCGAGCTTGGAGCATGATTAACGGCGAAATCCCGAACTCCGGGTAAGTCGCGTCATTTCATCTCGGGCTTTTCCTAGAACAGAAAACGCACACTCCAGGGGCTGAGTCCAATCCAGACGACGATCCCGAAGGCTTGCAGATCGGATCGCCAGAAATTGAGACATCCATCCTTCCTCCTCCGTTCTCCGTACGTGGTCAATTCCAGAGTTGCATCGCCGTTGGACTAGGATGTCAAATGGAGCTTAAAAGACCAGGGTTCCCTGTTGATTCAAGAGCATGGTACATTTGTAACCTTGGAAAATTCCCTATAAAACACTAATCAAGTAAATCCTTTTTTTTTTTCCTTCATAGATGTTCAACCTTAGCGCAGGGAAGACAGAGTACGAAGTACTCCGTACTGAGCCATAAAATAACCTCAGACGGTCTCGGCTTTGGCTCTTTATAGAGTATAGTAGTTTGAATTCGGGAGACACCGAACCGGTGCAAAACAGTAGCCCACTCCACTTGCGGACCATGAGGTCGATCCTCACCAAGGCTATCCCAAAGTAAGATGATAAGCCCTGCGGGCCCGAGGCTGGGAAGGAGGATTTTCCCGTCTAGGCATCGAATCGCCTACGCCACCACCATCCGGCCGAAGCCTAAAGGACCCACTGTGAGGACAATCGCGGTATTCTGAGAGTTCAAAACAAGCTCACTGGGTCTTTGCTCTTGTTGTTTCTCTGTTTTTTCTGCAGCGTTTTTAACTTTTAGAACTATAGAAGTCTTGCAGAGTTTGTATACATCACACACTTCTATGCTCACTTTGTCCGGAGTACTCCGTACTCCGTAAGTAGATGCCGTTTCTGCGCCCATGTAAATGTACTCCGCACATTGCACATGTTCGTGAATTTTAGCAAATCCCGAAAAGACTCTATTGGTGCACGTCTCACTGAAGTGTCTAGGGCATGAGATTGGTCACGGCGTAGCAGGTACTGCAGAGTGGGTATCTGAAGACCTTTGCGTGTACGTAGTAAAAAGCATAGAGTTGGTCAAATGTACAGAGTATGAAGATAAGTACAATGTTGTACTAATGTAGCATCCTTGATCCCTGTGGAGGACTCGCCATTAATATAAGGATGCGGTAGTAAAGCGGATGAACCGGGGGAATACTCGGGGAGAATTCCACATTTTCCCCTATAATTTGTTTTTCCTATTTTTTCCTATTTTTTCCCAAGACACGGAGCATGTACCCTCCGTACTCTCTCCACTTGGGAGAACCATGTCTATAATTGCCGTTAGACAACAATTCCCGACGCCATTACTCTCTGTGATCCAAGTTTGAAGACCAAATGCCGATGTCATGTATCCACTATCAGCAAATATCCCTAAAAAATAAAAAAAATAGACTATTTCTTAACTGAATTTCCTTTTCTGAACTAACCGTCTAAAGAGACATCGGGCACACCCTATCCCCAAAGTGGCGGCTTTGGAGCCGCCTAAACCGAAAGGGTTCAAACTGTCTCATTTCAATTTTGCTGTTGACGTGGAGAAAGCCATAAATTCGGTTATTCCGAGTAGATAAATCTAATTTATATTATGTTCAAAAGGTGAACGTTGAGTACTTTTGGTAATTTTCAATGTATGTACTCGGAATACTTGGAATACTTGGAATATTCACTTTTTCGAGCTCCATACCTGAATTCCTCTCCCTCACCTTTCTCCATTTTGACACCTTCGGTTTGAGCTTCGGTTTCTCTAAACCATTTTCGTCTTTCGTCGGGAGCCTCTTGCTTCAATCGCCTGAAGAAAACCTTACATCTTGCAGGAGAGGGAGAGAGGGGAAAGCTGAGGCTCGACGTCAGGGAAATCTCGAATTGGAGGAAACGTCAAAATCTTTTTATTCTTAGTCGCTCAAATCTACACGACGCTACTTTTAGTGGCTTTTTTCCCTTTCTACCACTGACCAGTGGTAGGCGACACGTCCTTGGAGGCTATTTTGTTCATAAGCTGTGTGCCACCATCGGCCACCATCGATCGTTCCGGTTATCATTATCTTTACTATCGGGGTCATCTTGGGTCTTTTTCCTTTGTCGTTCACACACTCATTCGGATTTTGGATGTCCAAAACGCCTTTAGCGTTATTGTCTCCAACATCTTTGGTAGTCTACCCACACATCGCCGACACTAATCCCTAGCTCCTCGAGAATCTGTAATCGAGATCTCGCTGCCGTCTGATTTCCCCGCTATGCCACATCATTGAGCATCTTAAGCATTCAGCAGTGATCTTCTGGGTTCCAAGCGCGGTGCTTTTATCTTCGCCCACACTTTGGCCCGATTCTCTGCGAGCCTGCGAATTTATAGGTCTTCATCCCAAGCTGGGCAAATCCCTGGACGTTGGCACAAGCTACTAGGATATTGCAGACACCCTGGCACGGAAAACATGCAGCTGAGACCGTGACCTCTCGGGACTAATGCGAGATGGTGGCCTTCTAAGCTAGCTTTAATTCCTTTTCCCTTTTTGGCTTCACCGGCACACGCAAATTGCTGCGAGTCGACCATTTCGATCGCCAGCAACCCATCAAAACCTCGCTGGCAACCTAAGTGCAGATTTATCTCCCTTATCATTCTTGCTCGCCCTTCAATTCCGAGTTTGGAACGTACACGATCGATCTATTTCGCGTTGCTGCCGCCTGATTCAAATTTTTGTTCGACTTTGTGCCCAGCTCTTATCACTGTCCTTGGAGACCGAATAATTGAAGCGGTATGTGAAAAGCGCCTAAGCACATGAAGATCGAAGAATTGTCCTCTTTGCTAAGTCGCCTGTCTCCTAACAGTTACCGTTTTTGTGCACCATCTTCTGGGATCTGGGAAACTCAACACAAAGCTGAGAATCAGCCAAAGACAAGCTCGCCAAGTCTTTCCAGGCCAAGTTCTTTTCTAGACACCATTCCCATTCAAGCGTACGAAGCCACTGAATACACTAGTCCACTGTTTTTTTTGGCTGAGTTTACTTTGTAGACAGTCAAATTGTGTGAAGCACTCTGACTCCATACATCATCCAACCGCTATGTCAACACCCCAAGGTGCAGGATCTGGATCTGTCTCCGGATCTGGCATAGGCTCACACTATTATGTTGGACCCTTCGGTCGTACGTTTCCCACCACAGATGGCCCATTCTCGGAGCAGCAATCCGAGCTTCCAGCTAATTTACAAGAATCCGCGGACCTTCCATACCAGCTTCCACCCCCACGTGTACCGGCTAGTTTGCATTTTGGATCTGATCCCTTTTCGCGACAGAAAGGGAGTCCCCGGGGCAAAGACAATCGACCAAATCACCAGAAGCCAGAGCAACTTCCCTCCGTGAGTCAAATACTCACCCCAACATCGGGGACCAACTCAGTACAATACCCTCAACCATTTGCGTGTTCGACACCCAACACAGGACGCCGTGAATCTGCATATCCGCCTCATTATCACGATTCGAGTTTCCAGGGCCCGTCAACTTCTGTACAGGATAAAGGCCGTTCCGAATCTCTCCCACAACTGCATGCTGGCCTGCCTTCATTGTCACAAGTGGCGATGCATGGGCATGGATGTATAAGAAACCACACACCGACAAGAAGTGTATCATCCGCTATATCCTATCCACACGGCCAGCTACCACTTCACGCCACATCCTCAAATGATCAAGCACCAAATGGGGAACTATCATCACCGGAAAGCGCAACCCGATCACGCAACCATCCCCTCCGGCCTCATGTGGTAGATGAGCGAGTAATCGACGGAGAACTCTGCTTCGTATATGCAGATGGATCATTCTGTCCCAAATTCATCGACGGTACACCTGTCAATGCAAATTGGGGTGTAACGAAGGCGGGTAGGCCGAGAAAGCGCCTTGGACTTGCCTGTCTGACCTGCCGCGAGAAGAAGATCAAGTGTAACCCTAACCCAACTCCCGAGGCCGTATGTGACCAATGCCGGAAATCTGGACGTGAATGCAGGTTCGAAAGTGCGTAAGTGTGATCGTGACCTCTGAAGAATATATACGTCCACGGACTTAGTTTGTTGAACTATTGCTAATCTCCTCAAAGCCCGCGGGGGAACCGTCATCCATTGAGAGGCTCAGCAGGGCCATCTGGCAGACCCGACCCTTACCCCCCCGCTAACCACGGTGCTTTGGATGTTTCTCCGGCATCTTACGACATTGCTCGAGCCTCGGACAGTGCGACCTCCCTTCCTGGGACTAACGGCCACTCACCGATTTCAGAGAGCTCGATGCTCACGCCGTCAGCTCAAGAACCGACGTATGAAACCATGGCCGAGGCGCACAAAGCCTCGAGATCCCGATCCTATCAATTCCCGCCGTCTTTATCCGGAGATGACAAATTTGCGCGACTGTCGACACATATCGAATCTACTCGTTCGCCTGAGTACTCTGACATTTTGGGGGAACTTAAGGACAACAACTCGGACGACCCACTCGCGGCATCCTGGCACCTGGATCCGTACGAAAGCGACCCAGAGACGGCGGTTCACTACACCGAGTGCTATTTCTTGCACATGAATGACGGTTTGTACCACATGTTTCCGCATGGACGATTCAGCTCGTGGTTGAAAACCTACCCCACCAAGTCTGCAGATGACAAAATGCTTCTTTATTCTATGATGGCTCTTGGATCTGTGTTCTCAGACAGACCGGACAAAATGGCAGCCATGAGACGATTTTCTCGCATAGCACGATTTGCTATTAATAGAAGCCAGCATACCATCTCTTTGCAACTTGCTCAGAGCCATATCATAATGAGTCTTTGGTACTACGCTACAGGGTCGCTGGTTGGGTCTTGGGACTCGATCGGTGCAGCGGGAAGAGCGGTGTTTGGGCTTCGTTATAACGTTGAATCTGGTGGTGTTGTTGTGGATCAAAGTCAGATGTGTGACTACGGGTTACATCCACAGGCGTTGATTGAGTGCCGACGACGGACCTTTTGGATTGCTTTTGTGCTTGATGTAAGTATACATACATCCTCTGACTCAAAGGGCGAATCTTGGCTACTGACAAATATCCAGCGCTTCTCGAGTCTCTATTCCGCTTCGTCGACTTTTATCTCGTCAGATGCAGCCCTGCTGAGACTCCCATGCCGAGAAGAAATTTATGAGACTCAGCAGTACGCGACAGTCCCCTATTTCCAATCGTTCCTCAACCACATCCCCGCCTCCACAGGCGATGATCGCTCCACCCTGAGCCCAATGGCCTTTTTAATCGAGATCATGGCTATCTGGGGAGATGTCTCTCTACACATAACCCGATTACCACACATTCCCCCGGAGGCATACAACCGACTCACCGAAGATTTCCACACCACCATCGTCCAAAAATCCAACCAATGGATGAACCGACTCCCCGAGTACCTGACATTCTCACCCATCAACCTAGAACGAAGCATCCGGCAAAGAAAAGTAGACACCTTCATTTCAACTCATTTGTTCTACCACGCCAGTTTGATGAAACTGTACAGATACGCCCGCCACCAAAGCCTCCGACCCGAGATCTTAGGCCAATACATCCACCGCGCCCGATATCACGCGGTCGAAATCCTCCGCATTTCTCTTACCTTCGACCAATACGCCAAAAAGATCATCCCTTCTCGACATAACACGGAGACATCCATTTCCCAAATACTCCTCCTGAACCCATTCCTCGGCTATGTGATCCTATCAGCCGTGGATGTCCTCAGTTCCGCGGGTCTGGCATCTCAGTTGCACGAGTGCATCTCTTACATTAGAGGTGCATTAGACACTGTTCAAGAATTGGGCCGCTGCTGGGATAGCTCTTTGCAACTATCCACTATTCTACACCGACGTTTGGGTCTGATGATTAGCTGTCTGAATGAGCGCAGCGTCTTCGTCCAGAAACAGGGGTTTGCTCTTGATGGCCCGCCGCTTGAGATGAAGGTCCATGCTGGCGCTTTGCATTCTCATCCACCTACAACTATGAGCGAAGATCTATTTACAGGGTCTATGCCTAGACAAGTGCTTTTGAATGCTCTGCGGCTTGATGAGACACTCATATCGGAAAGTGGTATTGCTTGGATTAGGGATCCTTGAGAGCACTTTCTTCTCTCGACTCTATTCCTCTTGATCTTCTTTTTGATCGTGTTCATAAATTGGCCGGACGACGTGACTGACCATATGGCAGTTTTGATGTTGATGTTGATGGTTCTTGCAGTGGTGATGGAATCTTGTTGCCTATCACCCTGTTACGATGTAATGGGTGCATTCCAATAACGATGAGTACTTGGCTGATTGATTCAAAAACATTTTTGCCATGTATAGACGGGACTGTGACTTACATGACTTGTCTTTGCCTCTTCTCGAGCAGCAAAGTTCCATTTTTTTCCACATTGTATATTATTTATTGCATGTCATTAATTTCTGCCCTTTACAAGCCTTTGCGCGAGCACTCTGCTAGTGCTATCTGCTTGTCATGTACATATATCTATCATACTTGTAAGACCATTGAGACAAGTAAAGCGGAATTTGCCTGAGGTCTCACTACCTTGCTACAGAACCATGTAGAACGATATGCTGCTATGATCTATCAGTTGAAAACTGTCTTGAAAAAAAAAAACTTGCCCTTAATAGGATTCATCAACACGGCATAATGTGTATCTTCTTTGACAATCGGGTCCGAGCAAAGCCACCTCAGCACTGTCCCAAGAGTAACCGACACTTCGGACTCAGGATCTTCTCCTCTCGTGGTATTCAGTTTCCACTTCAAATGGGAAAGAGCAGCATTCTGAACCCGCCACTTCTTGATTTGTCGTTGTTGAAATTCCCTTCGGGGTCGATGAGAGGTGGGAAATGTCAGGCTGAGTGAGAAGTAGCCTTTTCTATTAGATAAGGTGCTTGGCAAGTTAATAGGTATCTTGATCTGAGGTTTTATAAGAAATGAGAAATTTAGGGTAGGCCGAAGGGGGCGTACTCCGTACTTGTGGGTTACACGATGTCCACTGAAAGAATCGTTACCTGTTTATATATACGCCTGTAGCACTTGTGTACATTTACATTTGACCTTCAATTCTCTAAGATTCCGATTGGCACAATTCTATCGTACTGATAAATGTTGAAGAGGGCGCTCGATGTGGCTTATTTTGCGGGATTCTGTGCCGATCCACCTACGCTTGCTACCCCGGTGTATCCATCATGGTGCCTTTAGCTTCACTTGGATATCTTGGCTGATCTACAGAGTATTGCCCAAATGCTGTCTTTTGTGTGTTTTCTTCATGACTACCGACTGGACTCTTGGAAGAGAAAACCGTGCTCTGCTCCACGATAACAATTGTATCAGCTCTATTCTTTCTGAATTGATCACAATCCCAGAATTTACGAAACACTAAGCCAGGCTGCATAAAAAAATGTAGTATCTCGGATTAGGATTGGACTTCACTGGATACATAGGGGGGCGAGGGCGAGCTTGCACGACACAGAAGCAGAGCATGATCGCCACTGCAGCTGGCTTGAGAACAGTTCAACTGATCTACATAGCTTTTGACAAACATACTTCATGACTTGACCAGCCCCATTGGGTGCTCCTCTGTTGTTTAGTCGAGATACCTGTAGACTATTCTTATGGCAGCACACCTTGCTGGTGTGTGTCATCCAGGAGATAGTCAATGTATCACCCAGTTTCGCAACCTTTTACTACAAGAGGACTTTCCATCTCTATACGATAAACCGAGATTTGCACAGTATCTACATGCGAATTAATATACTAACACCAAAACCAAAATTTGAAGGTTGATTCACTTCAATCGCCCTAAGCCAATAGAAATCGAGTCACAGGTTGCCACCCGAGCTTTGTTTGCAAACGGCCAGCGGGCAAATGTTTTGTATTGGTCGTATAGGTCGTATAGGTCGTATAGACTCGACATAATTTGAAAAGTATTAAGGATTCACGACTTGAAAGTTAGCAAAATGCTCGCTCTATACATATCCCCCGATCAGTGCTCCACTACAACACCTCTAAGCGGAGATTCCAACGGAGCGGAAGGTTTCTCCGGGATTCAAAACCACATCACCTTGATTCATTGCCTTGACGCGTTACATCCAACAACCCCAAAATGGGGTTATATATATAGATCTCACGAAACGAGTTCGTAAAAAGCTCTCTCATGTCCTCCTTTAACCAATCCGGGACGCCCGAGTTCCCCGGGGCGCAGGAATTCCGCGCGACGGTGGAAGATGACGGACTCGACGGCGACTATAGTATGGTCGGCGACTACCCAGAGGAACCCGACTATTACGTCCTGCTTGGCCTTGCGCGCAATTCACCCCCAACAGACGCCGAGATCCGTTCCGCTTACCGCAACTTGACCCTCAGCTTCCATCCCGACAAACAGCCGCCGCATCTCCGCCATGCGGCAGAGAGTCAGTTTAGACATATCCAGGAGGCGTATGAGACACTTATTGATCCAAACAAGCGCATTGTATATGATATATCGGGTGCTGCGGGTGTGCGGCAGGAATGGGGCCAGCTTGGGGCCATGGGGACTGGTGGGGAGGCACAACGGCAGGATGTTGGCGTTAAGGCGATGTCGCCAGATCAGTTCCGGCGATGGTTTTTGAATACGATGAAGAAACGGGAGCGGAAAGCGATCGAGAGCTTGGTTTCCAGCAAGGTATGTGTCTTCCGTCCTGTCGCCTATGGGAAGTCGTGCGACTGGACTGTTGCTGACATTCATTGGGGTTGATGTTAGGGCGGTATTACCCTTGGAATCAACGCGGCGTCTATGATCTCAGTCGACGAGGATGAAGATGTGCAGTTTCATATACCTTCGCCGCAAGTGTCCTCATACGGTGTCACGTATAGTTTCAAGACGCCGGTGTCATTACCGCAGCTTTGGGGCACGACAGAGAAAGAATCGGAAAATTCGGGCGTGGAAACAGATGCAGGAGAAGATGCGCAAGAGGGGGAATCAGAGGACATGCAGGTGACTTGGAATGCAGGTATAACTGGAGGTTTGGCTCGCCCGGTCAAGAAAGTCATAGTTGAGTACGAGGATGGAACAGAAGGAGAGGAAAAGGTGGGATGCACTGTACATTCGCTTTTTCGAAAACTTTGCTAACCGTTTTCCAGTTCCAAATGCCACCGATCCTGGCAGCTCAGAACTTCCAATTTGGGGCCACTGTCACTCCTAATTTCAAAAACCTGGTGGGTACCAAGGGAATCTGGGCCAAACACCCTTTCTCCCTCCTCAGGGACTCCCAAGTCAGCTTCGATGCTCTTCTTCTCCCAGCTCCAACCCTGAAAGCGAACATTGCTCGAGCCTTTCAACCAATCCCTGGCACCAAGCCGTTCCAGGTCAGCGTGACCAGTATACACAAGCGCTCCTTGGACGAAACAGCGCCTTCTTTTGAGATGCAAATTTCAAGAGAAATCGCCAAGAGGAAGATCGGCGTCATTACGTGGTCGAGTGGCGTTGTTAGCTGGCCCGAGTTTCTACTCAACCGGTTCCCATCCCTTGGAATGGGAGCGCAGAGTGCTATTGCATCTGCCAACGAGGTTAGTAACCTGCAAATTGGTCTCATTTCGCTTCCCAAACAGGGCCAAGCCGCGCCCGATTTCGACGGTGATGACGAGGAGGAGAGTGGAGATATGGACGAAGACGTCCGTCATCTTCTCAAGAAAAAACGCCAAATCGACCAATCTGCTGAGTCTTGGCAGACCTATCTCCAGGCTACTCCCGCTGGAGGCGCTTTTGTCTTGAATTATTCTCGGAATCTCTTCTCCGGAAAACCGACTGACGATCCGGTTAAGACTGAATGGAGCTCTGAAGGGTACTTCCCGATGCCGAGCATGGACCAGGCGCGTGCTGTGCGGCTCGAGATCTCAAGTGTTGTTGGATTAGACATGTCTCTCAACTGGACCATTAGAGGCGTTCGCCGGGTTGGTGAATACACACGTGTTGGTCTCGGCATTGGTATCGCGGACAAGGGCATCATGATGACAGTCTCATGGAGCCGACTTGGCCAAAGCATTAATCTTCCGATCAACGTTTGCCCGGCCAATGAAGCAACCAGCGGAGCAGCAGCGCTGACAGCTATATTTCCTTGGTTGGCCTACTGCGCGATTGAGTTTGGCTATATTCGCCCGCGCGACAGAAAATTGCGTCGGCAGGCAGCTGCTCAACGCCACCGTGAGCTGAAGAAGTTGATCCCTAAGAATCGCGAAGACAGTCTCCAGGCCATCGAGCTCATGACGGATCAAGTGCAAAGGCGGCAAGCGCGAGAGGAAGCACAAGATGGCCTGGTCATTCTGAAGGCCGAGTATGGTTATATACCGCCAGTAAATAAGAAGCCCAAACATGGGTTCGCGGAGCCTCGGGTGATTGATGTCACTGTCCCGGTGGCTGCGCTAGTCAATCGGGGCCAATTGGTGATTCCCGGGAAATCCATCAAGGTAAGTCATCCGACAGACCTTGAATCCGTTATCATTTTTGGGGCAGAATGCTAATTTGGATGTATCTAGTTCCAAATTTTGGGATTCCACGACCCTGCGCCATTGCTGCCCAAACGATTGAAGATCTGGTACAGATTCCAGGGGCGCGACCATTTCGTCGAGGCAGGTGATAAAGAGGATATTGCATGCCCCATGCGTACTCACTTTATATCCACATGAGCTCATTTAGACTCATCAAAGGTTGAAAACCCTTTGTTTCTATGTAATTATATGTAACAATAAGTCGTTCGTTAGCGACCTACTATCTCATCTGATGCTTTTACTACCCCTTGTGTTTGAAAATCAGAAAAAAAAACCCCTTTTCTTGGCTGGTCCAAATGCTTTCAATTCAAGCGCTCTAAAATTGAAAGGCTTTACTACAGTAATCATTTTCATCATAGCAATCTTTTTGTGAAATGAGCCAGCCCGGCGTGAATTATTGCTAAACGTTAGAAAGTCTTGGCATAAATGGTTACGGCAATCCACAACTGCCACTAGCGCAGTTTGTCCCGAAAAGCCAAATGGAGCGTCACTCCATGATCACTTATCATCACTAGTGCACAGCTCTTGAGTTGCTCACTCTTGGAATGTCAACCTCTATTGCTTCTGGACTTTTAAAGTCCCTCCCCAAACCAAAATACACTGGTGAGGAGGAGGAGTTGCCAAAGCATGCGCAACCCCGTGGTCCGCGCGTGGTGGGCGCCGACCAGATTGATGAAACACAGGTCGTCCTACGGGTGAGTTGTGGATGGTTCTAACAAAACAATGGCATGCAAGCTAACTTCTCCTGTCTTTCAGAGGACCGGGCCTCCGCCCTATGGAAACCGTGGAGGATGGCGACCTCGCGCCCCCGAAGACTTCGGGGATGGCGGCGCGTTCCCCGAGATTCTAGTTGCACAGTATCCCCTCGACATGGGCCGAAAGGGAAAGTCGTCCAAGTCAAATGCGCTTGCTCTTCAGGTCGATGCCGAAGGCAAGGTCAAGTACGACGCGATCGCCCGCCGCGGACACGCCGACAACCGCACCGTCCATGCCTCGTTCAAGGATTTGATCCCGCTCCGTCAGCGGGTGGATATGGGAGAAATTTCTCTGGATAAGCCGTCCGAGGAGGAGATTCAGGCTCAAATGGAGAAAACAAAGGCCGCACTTGCAACCTTGGTTGAAGGAGCTGCATCAGCGCAGAAGCCGAAGAACGTCAAGGGTGGACAAAGAGCAGAGCCGACTTTTGTTCGATACACCCCGGCCAATCAGATGGGCAACAACGGCCGCCAGAACGACCGCATCATGAAGATTGTCGAGAGGCAACTGGATCCTATGGAGCCGCCCAAGTTTAAGCACAAGAAGATTCCCCGTGGCCCGCCTTCTCCGCCGCCTCCCGTTATGCACTCGCCGCCTAGGAAGCTTACTGCCGAGGACCAAGAGGCTTGGAAGATTCCCCCACCTGTGTCGAACTGGAAGAACCCCAAGGGTTATACCGTGCCTTTGGACAAGCGTTTGGCTGCAGATGGTCGCGGGTTGCAAGATGTCTCCATCAATGACAAATTCGCACAGTTCGCAGAGGCTTTGTTCACGGCGGATCGACATGCGCGTGAAGAGGTGCAGCTCCGAGCTCAGATGCAGCAGAAGCTGGCAGAAAAGGAGAAAGCACAGAAGGAGGAGCATCTTCGGATGTTGGCACAAAAGGCTCGCGAGGACCGCGCAGGCCCCAGCGCTCGCGTTTCACGGGCTCGCTCCCGTTCCCGAAGTGTTAGCCGCAGTGTATCTGTGTACTCCTCCAGGTCTGCTACCCCCAGCGAAGATGACGAAGCTGCCCGAGACCGTGCGGAGCAGCGCCGCGAGCGACGGCGTGAAGATGAACGACAGCTGCGCCAGTCTCGCATGGGGACAGAGCGCCGCATTCAGGCCATGGCCCGAGAACAGAACCGTGATATCTCCGAGAAGGTCGCGCTTGGTCTGGCCAAGCCCACACAGAGCTCTGAATCTATGTGGGATTCTCGTTTGTTCAACCAGACCAGCGGTATGCAATCTGGTTTCAATGAAGATAACCCCTACGACAAGCCGCTGTTCGCCGCGCAGGACGCCATCAACAGCATTTATCGCCCACGTGCCCAGGCTGATGCGGATGACGAAGATGCAGGCGAAGGTGAGATGAGCAAGCTTGAAAAAACGAAGCGGTTCGAGGTCCTGGGTCGCGCCAAGGAGGGATTCCGTGGCGCTGCTGAAGCCGAGGTAAGCTTCTGCCCAATACACATCTTCTTTTTGTCGCTAATAGGTTCTCTATAGGAGCGTCAAGGTCCTGTTCAATTTGAGAAGGACACTGCTGATCCATTTGGCATTGATAACATGATTGCCGATGTAACCTCTGGGCAGAAGCGTTATGGAATCCAGGAAGCTGAAGGCAACGATGACCGCAAGTCGAAACGCCCGAGGGTCGACGATGAATGAATCCCCTTTTGTTAATTAATCTTCCATGTGTGTCTCTGTTCTCTCGTGATCTTTCCACGGTCATCGGACAAAATATCCTCGGTGCATTGCGGGCGTTTCTGGCAGTGTGATTCCTACTACTATCTTGTTTGCAAAAGGAAATCGAAATCGACGCGAGTCAATTGGACTCGCTCGTGAAATGGGACATGCTATTTCATCTACAGCTACCAATAAAAACTATGTTGATCTATGTCTGTAAATTTCCAGTAGCTTGTTCTCTTTCTACTGAACGTGTGCAGGATTAAGGCAGCTTCCACGTGATCATAGCGCAGTGAGGCAAGATCCAAGTCCGAGGGAATGTGTGTGGGCAACTTTGTAGTTCCATCCTAGGTAAAGAGAGGATATCACAGTCGCGAACACCCCCGTCTCCCCTCCCCTGTATTCCGTGAGACTCGCCAAATGACTTCGGAGCCCAAATGCTCAGCCATGACTTTTCAAAGACCTCACCCGAGAAAGCTCGGTTTGATTTGGGGTGCGGAACTGCATGGGCCTCAACAACTTGATCATGTTGATGTCTTCATGCATAGATACTGCCCCCATTTGCTACGGGACCCTTCTTCAACACTGTCTCAGGCTATGGAGAGACGGTGGTCGAGAGGGGTGAGGAGAGAAAGAAGAGAAGAGGAAAAGTGGGAGACTTGTGTTTTTTGTCACGTCCCACGTACCTTCCCAAAATGGGCGGACATGGTGTTTGCCTGGCCTCAGGTCTCCTTAACAGACCTCACTCGGTCTTCTACATCGACGTACAGAACACTAGATGGGGATGAATTTTTTTGGCTTTGGTTCTGTCGCCTCCATATCATAAACATGTCAAAGTTGCATGTCTTCCAAGGCCATGGGGTCCACGTACACAGGTGGAATCAAATTCACACAAGGACTATTAAGATTCAACTTCAATGACTGAATGTTCAAAGCAAACTACAATCGAAACCTCATCGCAAACTCAGTTCTTCAACTCCTTCTTATTGGGAGATAGCACACTCTCCAACCACTTGTAAGCTACAGGCAGACTGTCAGGGTATCCCATGTGCACCCGGTTCTCGAAGAACCGATTTTCTTTCGGACCGCCATGCTTGAGAGGTTCGATGCAGTCTTCAATCGGGATAACACCGTCATCCACACCCTAGAAAGAATCAGATTCCGTTTCTTTGCTCAACATCGTCGAACAGGGATACATACGTTGAGCATAAGCAACCGGCAGTTATCTTGGTCAAGAATGCCCGTCTCCACGAGCGAGAACTTCTTCTGAGCGTTCTTCACAAACTCCTCCTCAGTGTCATACCCATGCTTCTCCGCCATAGCGGAAGTAAGACTATCATCATTGTCAGTACTACACACAGGAGAAACCCAAAAAAAGAAGAAGAAAAAAATTTAAACAACCGCAGACATAACTCACTTAAACGGGTACTCATGGTCATTCGCCTTGGCCAACCACTCGGGACTGAAAACAAAGTGCGATCCAGGGCCATGAGCAACAGCACCTGCAAGACGTGCACGGTGCGTGCAAGACGCCCGGATAGCATAGAAGCCACCAGCGCTGAGCCCCCAAGCCGCGACGCGCGACATGTCAAACTCCGGCCGGCGATCCATGTAATCAAGCACACTATTCCAGAGCCTATCCGGCGACTCCGGGTCTGCCGGATCCGCAGGCGAGTCCGCCGTACCGGGAATCTCGACTATGACAGTCGCCCAGCCACGGTTAATGATCTCGTGGCTACGCTGGCTGTTATCAGGCCGGTAGCCATCCAGCCCCGTCATGAGCAGTACGACAGGGACGCGGTTGATAGCGCTTGCTTCCTCCGGCAGCCGGATGTACAGCGGGATTTCGGTACCGTCGCGGCCGGCACGGTGCGTATGCGGAATTACTTCTTCTGTGATGATGGGCTTCCATAGCGAGGCGGCTTTCAGGTACACTTGCTTCTGGCGATCGAAGGCTGCACGCTTGATGGATGTCTCTGGGCGTGTTGTTGGGCTTACGTAGGGGAAGCGCGAGATGCGGAGGACGACTGCTGCACGGCGGTAGAGGTCCGCGGCGCGGGCGACTTTGCCGTTGTTGAGGGCTGTTGCGGCTTCGTTCTCTAGCGCTAATGCGGTTGGGAGGAAAGCTTCGGTGTAGGCGTCTATGTTTGGGTCGTTGATATTTTCCTGTTCTTGTGAGAATTGGGATTGGGATGTATGGATTGTGGATTATGGATTGTTTGGAGATTGCTTACAGCAATTAGCTTCAGGAAAATGGGCTCGAAATCTTCCAGGGATCCATCGTGAAATGGGTAGATGGATTTCGTGGCCTGGCCAAATACCCATGTTAGTTTGCTGGGTCTTTTATTCTTGTCGAGAAAGGACGTACGCAGAATTTCCACTTCGACTCCCACAGGACTTTGATCGAGCCCTGGTGAGGGTAGACAGTGTCGAACTTGTCTCCAAGAATCCAGTTCACCATATCGAGAGGGATATAGACCAAAGAGATGGATGGGTTTGGTTTTGGGTTGCTTATGTCCAGCTACAGATTCGAGGCATCTTGCACTCTTCAATTGGCTTGCTTATCACCTGCATTCGCTGGTAGCAGCCACTATGAGAGCAAAGCCAAGGCAGAATGATGTCGATTGAGACGAAAACAGTAGTGGGTGTTGCAAGCCCTAGCTAGATGCACCCGGATCGGTAAAGATCTACTCTGTGCCGATGGGATGGGGATCTTGGCAGGCTATGAGGCTTCGAATATCTCCGGATGCGGGGGGTCAACAGCCAAGGTGGCGAGAGATAGGAATGTAGATCGGATTCTCGGTTATCTCATTATTCCATCGCCCCCTCATTTTCTCTCGATGGCTTCTTGTAGCTTTTCTGATGTCGGCGTTGTCGTTGCTTAGCCCTAGGACGTTGCAAGACATGCGAAAACGAACTTTTGTACGCAGCAATCAAGTGGTAGAACCAGATTAAAAAAAAAGGTATTAAAAAAAGGACCATTCATTCTGATTAGATGGAAAACAACACCAAAATAGATGTTTCAACAAAGACAACGGATTATTCAAATGGTCATAGACCCTAATTCTACACATGATTCCCAGGGTCTTCTCCAATGACCTCAAGGACACTTAAAGGAAAAGCATCCAAGACCACCAATTCACATGTCAATTAGATGTTAGCTCCACCATTACAAGGCAAAATTTGACCTGCAAGGAATGGAATTAGCCATAGTTCCAAGGATCAATCGAACATTCCAAAACTCACCGTTGATCCATTCTCCAGCAGGACTGGCTAAGAATGCCACAATGCGACCAATATCCGCAGGCACACCACAGCGCCCAAGGGGGCTACCGTTAGCAAGCGCGTGTTCAATCTCCTCGATCGACGAATGCTGGTCACAGCCCGGTGCATAGCGCCACGAGTTGCTCAGCCACATATCACTTTTGACACCAGCAGGAGCAATCGCATTCACAGTAGCCTTCTTCTTGCCAAAGTCAGCAGCAAAGCAGCGAGTAAAACCCTCGACAGCGCTCTTGCTGCCGGCATACAAGGAGTGGCCGGGCACACCCAGACCCGCCGCAATGGAAGACATCAGCACCACACGGCCGCCGGGCTGGATGTAGTCGTAAGCGTTCTTCGCAACGAAGAACTGCGCCCGTGTGTTGAGGTCAAACACCGCGTTGAAGTCCTCCAGTGTCGTCTCGGCTAATGGCACGAACTTCTCAGTTCCTGCGTTCGACACAACTATGTCAAGCTGTCCGAAGTGCGCGACGACCTGGCGGAAGAGGTTGGCAATTGAGTCGACATTTGTCAGGTCGGCTTGGAACGCGGCGCTGTGGACTCCATACGCCTGAATCTCTTGTACCACCCCGTCGGCAGTCTTGGAGCTGCTAGCGTAGTTGATCGCAACGCTTGCTCCCTTCTTCGCGAGCTCTAGAGCAATACCGGCTCCGATGCCTCGACCACCGCCGGTCACTAAGGCAACTTTGCCAGCGAGCTCTGGCTGAGCAGCGTTGGGATTTTGAACAACCATTTTGCTAAGGGATGATCTTTTTTTTTTTGGTTGGTGGGGTTGAGGTGTGAAAGGTTGTCAAGGAGTGGGCGTGGGAATCGGAGTCTAATATTGAATCTGGTATCTTGAACAATACCACTAGGATCCTGGCTGGAACCACTGGGCTCCATCATTCATCCCAATTGCAGTGGCTGGGCATTTTTTCCGAATTTGTTGGTGGCATCTTGAATGGGGGGTTATTGCGACCAACAGTTGACGTCGTGTCCTAAAACGGAGTAGCTGCTTGCGAAAAGGGACTCACAAGTATCTTGGCTTTACCTTCTACCGCATGCGGAAGACCATGCGGGAATTTCTCCACCATCTGTCATATCAGAAGCCCTAGGTTGCATTGGTATGTTTCCGTGCATGCGAAATATGCTGGGCAGATCCGAGGAATGTTGCTGCATTCGAGCAATTTGCTGGAAGCTGGAAGTGGACTTTAGATTCACCCACACGGCGCGTCTTGCGTCTCTAGCCAGAGTTTAAGCCATCTACAGAAAGCAAGCGCCGCTGGATAACCATGTCTCCAGCTGTAAAGAACAACACTGCTGAGCCCAACTTGGACATCAGCTTCCAAGGTCTGTTTCCACCTGGCCTCCTCTACCTGCTTGTGCTAAGATCAACAGACTACCTCATCCTTTCGAAGCTCGTGTTTGACTGGGCGGACAGCTATGATGCCAAGGTACAGACTCTATGACATTCAACTTCAGTTTTTGAGCATCAGGACTGACAATGTACCAGGACTGGGATCGTCTGCGCAGTATCATTGCCCCAACCCTGAAGGTCGATTACACCGAGGTCGGTCTGAAAAAATGGGATAACATGGCTGCCGACGACTACATGGCCATGGTAACCCACCCCGGCTTCCTGGGTGACAATACCATCAAGACTCAGCATCTGCTTGGCCAGACATGGTGGGAGAAGATATCCGACACCGAGGTTATCGGTCACCATCAGCTGCGCGCGGCACACCAGGTCTACGAGACTGAAGAATTGAAGACTGTCAAGCTACGCGGTCACGGCCATGCTACGAATGAGCACTACTACCGTAAGGTTAATGGTGTCTGGAAATTTGCTGGGTTGAAGCCAACGGTGCGCTGGAATGAGTTGCGCTTCGATGAGGTTTTCAAAGGTCTTGACTAGATGACAATAGGATCTACGGGGGCATTGAGTTCGAGAGTGTCGTCTTTGGTTGCCGCTCTCTTGCTTTTGCTTTTGCTTTTTTTATCAAGATATATGAAAAGTTTGGGCAGATGTCCTGTTCGTTCTTGGCTTTGTCTAGGATAATCAGCAAAATTCCTCCATACCTGCTATTATCATGCTTGAGTCCTATTCGCCTATTTGTATGTGTTCTCGTAGTAAAAGCTCCGAATGGTTGACTTTACGGATCAACGGTGAGATGGTGCATTGCGTGTCTCTCCCTCTGCGAACCGTCCGTGCTATGACTTGGGACCGGAAACCAGATGGCCCTTCCGGCTGCCCACATCTGGATGTAGGTGCTGATCCAGTACCTCAGGTCTGAGGGGTCACTTATGACGGTCTAGGGGGAGCTATAGCCTATCCAAGTTTTCCTAGACGCGCTGATGTTGTGATGAATGCAAAAAAAGAAATGCACACCGCTTTACCGCCGGCTCCTTGTTTGGAACTTGAGCTTCACAGACCAACAATACATCGACGTTGTGAAGTCGGTAGAATGTCTTGGTGTCTCGAATAGCACAAGGAGGCTGGGTTTGAATATGGTCTCAAGTTGAGGCCGTGCTCGAAAAATCTCCGTTGGATTCAAATTTTTGTCGATCAAACTGGATAAGCCAAAGATTGAATTACTTCAAGCCGAGGTCGACGAAGATGACCAAGGCTTTTTCCGTCTTCTGGTTGACGACTTGTCTATTAAATACATCACCGTGGAACCTGGCATTTACAGCGCCGAAGAGATGTGTTTTGGTCCTTCCCTAGTCTCTCTCTTGCCGACATTTCCCACAGGAGACTGGAATGATGGACTCGTGGCTCAGGATGCAAAAGACAGTCAATCACATCTTGCGTGCTTCCTGACCCAATTCCCTAGCGTTCAGAACGCTTAGCATAACATCCATGCCGACTAGTTGGAGCTTTCGATTGGACGAAAGTTATGAACTGGCATTTACGAAGTCAAATGTTCATTATTCGACGACGTTGTCGTCGCCAAATTCGCTCGTTTCCCCTGGGAGATTCAATACATCGAGAATGAAACCACAGCATATCAATGGATCTTCGGCTATACCATCGGGCCCCGATTCCTTGGCCACTTGACTGAAAATAGTCGGGTGATTGGGCTCTTAATGGAACGTATAACCGATGCAAGGCATGCTAGCACTCAGCACCTTGAGGCCTGCAGAGAGGTATTGTCTCGACCACACGATTTAGGAGTCCGACACGGGGATACGAATCGATTTAATTTTCCTCATCTGTGATTCGAAGGCTTCATTGAGGACTTCACAAGCTAAGATGGTCAATTCGCCGCCACACTGGGTGGAATAGTCGGCAAAAACGTCGCCAAACTCTACTTTCCTGCTAATTGGCCATGACTCGATCGGTGGGAGTGCTTCGATAGGCTGAGGCTCAGGAGGCCCAGCCATTGAAAAGCTACTAGGTCGAGTACCAGGGCGAGCCATTGTTCGATCGCAAGAAGATTGCAAAACGGTACCTGAGATGTAACCACTCGACTAATTTGGAATCTCCTACGCATCCAACGAGGCTTGGATGAAATTGCCCCTGTCCCTCATACCCAAGTAATGGAAGGGGGTTAAAAGCTATGTGCTTGAACTAACAGATGTCTTACCCCTTAAGGGATTTATCTCATGGCCGATTTGTTTTTCCCAATGTTCAAGAAAGTTCCTTGCATGAAGAGCTAAAGAAAAGCAATCGAGCAAAACATCAGCGGATCAAGACATGGCTTTTCAATCATCACAACCTCCACAACCTCCACAACCTCCACAACCTCCACAACCTCCACAATCCTGGCCATATCCGCCATTGCAGTAATAGCTGCCATAGTCATCAGAAGACCGTCCTGAATAATAGCACCCATAGTCCTCGGTATCTAAGTAGCTCTGACACACCAGATCTTCATCATAGGAAGTGACCTGGGTCCCAGATGGAGGCGAAGATGACACTGCGTCTTCATAATCAGTTGCCTCAGTATCAAGCGTAGGTAAAGATGAGTCAGGCTGGTCTTCGTTGCTGTCTTGATGGAGATCTTCAATCCCATCGTCAGGCTGAGATCTCTCCGCACTTTGGTCTTGGTTTTGGTCCACATCTTTTCCATCACGATCACAATCACAATCAGAATCAGAATCGAAATCACTAGACCCAGTCTCAACGGTAATCGAAGACGGCGCATGCTTGTCAGAATCCATTGAACCTCCAGTTCCCCAATCAGGGCCACAACCAGATCCTAAACCTGCCCCCCAGGCAGAGCCGTATCCCATACCGGACCCGTATCCATAGCTTGCACTAGCTCCATATCCCGCCCCAGATCCCGCTGATCCGATCATAGGTCTTGATCCCGACACTGATCTTGGCCTGGACCCGGATCCGGAGATTTTGTGCTTGATCGCATTCTCGAGCTGTTTAAGTGGTTTCGCAATACTAGCCCGCCAATTACGTGAGCTCCCTGTGCTCGGTTCATAGAGGTTAAGATCAAAAACTCGGTTGTGTTGGGTGCATTGGAAGCTTTTGCATCTGTTGAGACGGTTAATGTGGATATGTCAAGGCCGAGAATGATCAAGGTGTCCAAGGCTGAGGTCCATGCACCAACTCACTCATGAATCCTCACGAAATTCGCATCCACAATCCCATCTTCAGAGACTTCCTCAAAACTTCCGTGCGTGTCACTTGCAACGAAGTATCGGATAGACTCTATCCGCCCGCTGCTGACTTGGCGCACGAGCTGGATACAGACGCTCGCTTCAGAGGGATCGGTGGATCCTGGTAGATTACCGATTTTCGTGAGGCCCCATTTTGTAAACTCGGTGAAAGTCTGCTCGTAGTTGGGATTTGGGACTTTGGTGGGCTGGATGGATGTGCAACAGAATAGATGGGTTGACATTTCGGCGATTGAGTTTGAATGGACTTTGGAATGAGAAGATTTCTGGTGAGCGGTTTAATGGAAGGGGGGTGGGGGGTGGATTTCATAGCTGTGTGTGTTTCTCTGGCCTGTGAGTGAAGTCGTCAGGATGTGATAATTGGACTCCTACTCGATTAGGAAACGGAGCTGTTATTCCCAGGTGCATGATGCACCAGGGCTCACGTGGCGGGCTATTGTCGGGCAAGGAGAGATCATGCCATTTTCGATTTTGGGGTTGAAGATGAAGTTCGAGTTATTTGTCAAGGTATGTATGGCATCCACGGTCGAACGTTGAAGACACATCTATGTTGTGTGCTTCATTGATATACACAAGTACACAAGTACACAAGTAGAAGGGAGGAAGTCAGTAAATTAGTTTGGCATTTCCTATGGCTTTAATGCGAATGAGACATAGGACAGAAGAAAAGACTGATATAAAAGCATGTTCTAAGCTCCGCAAAAGCGCAATGCCATGACAGAGCAATATCGTGCACCAAATGCTCAGATTACTCTCAATTCTGGACTTCATCCCAAACATCAGCACTAGAAAGAGTTAGCCAATGAGCACATTTGAGCTTATTTTTCAATTACATACCCATCGTCTGGAATGGGATATTTCTTGTCGCCATCGATAACATAGCCACTGTAAGAATCCTGGTTCAGCCCCGGGCCTTTGATCGACTCCTCGTGGATGGTAACGTGATGATCATGCGACTTGCCGGGGCTGTCGACGGAGATATTGGTCTCGCCCGTGTGAGAGTCGGGCCAGTAACCCTGGAGGTTGGCGGGGTTGTCGCTAGGACGGGGTGCTGCCAGCACGGACTCGGGCTGGGGAGTCTGGGGCTGTGACTCGGCCACCGCCGCTTGTGGCGATTGCTGAGACGGATGCGCCATAGCAGGGGTTTGAGTGCCCTGGGTGGTGGTATACAGAGCTCCGTGGCTACCGGCGGTGGGCACAGTGTCAAGTCCGGTCAAGTCAAGACCATCGTTGCCAGCGGCATTGCCACTCACGGGTTCCGGATAGGCAGCACACGCGTCGTAGTGGCTCTTCGGGGGAGCATGCACGGTGTTCGGGAAGGTCTCGGGAGCCTCGATAATGGTAGCCATCAGACCAGACTCGACGTGCCACTCGATGTGGCAGTGTAGCATCCAGACACCGGGGTTGTCGGCGCGGAAACGGATGACGGTGTGGCCATGATTCTGGACCATGATAGTGTCCCGTCTGATTGGAGTCGCGGAGACGTTGCTCGAGAGACCAGTGTAGTAGCCGCCATCCACTGGGGTACGCTGCAGAACCTGGAACTGGTGTCCGTGCAAGTGCCATGGGTGAAGGTTGTTGTGGTGGTTGTTGATCACGATTTCGACGATCTCGTTGTGCTTGACAACGAAGGGGTTTACTTGACCATACACGTCAGGATTAGAGGAAAACTCAAGACCGACGGTATTAGCAGTGTATAGAGATGGCACCTTAGGGCCTATATAGGTCTTGTTGTTGACAGTAAAGCGCGGCACACCGTCGACTAACGCACCGCCGGTCTCCAAGACGATCTGGTGGTCCACGGGCTCGAGCAAGGGCTCGTGATCGGCTGGCACAAAAGTGACATCATCCACAAAGTCTTCTTGGAAATCGATGTGATTGATGATGGGAGGCTCAGGCAGGGGCTTGGCCTCGTCGTAAACCAACCAGGCAGTCGCATTGGGGTTGTAGTTTTCCGGGATGGTTTTGTTTTCGAAGACAAACATCATGTTCACATCCATGGTATCCCAGATCGCAAAGTTCTTACTCGCGTCAGCCTTGGTCTTGATCAAGACACTCATACGCTGGCCAGTTGCGACACGCAGGAACTTGTCTCCGGCAGGGTATGGTTCAGTGTAAACGCCATCAACCTCCACGACAGTCATCTCGTGGCCATCGATAACCCAGAAGTGGCCAGGCCAGTTTCCAATGCATATGATGTGAACCAGGTACGTCTTATTAGGAAGAACCTTGATTTTTGTATTGGTTGAGTCGTTGATCAAGGCCGAGTCAGGGAGGGGCTCAGCGCCTTGGGCCACTTCGGCCGAGCTGAGCAAATCTGGCATCTCCCGGTGGTACCAGTCACTCAGAGTAAGTGTGAACTCATCATCATAGGAAAAAGGTGGCCTGGGGTCGTGCACAATCAAAGCCCCACGAAGTCCATCGGGGTACTGGCCCGCGTTATGTGAGTGATACCAGTATGTTCCGGCTTGGTTGACCTATGCTGCAATTAGACCATGTTCACCTTTCCTGCACCGGGGTAACTTTACATCGAAGTGATACTGCATGTGTTTGCCGGGGGGTAGTGGACATTGGGTGACTCCAACCGCACCATCCATAACACCAGTGCTAAACTGGTGCATGCCGTGCCAATGGATAGCCGTAGACTCATTTCCAAGACCGTTGTAGACATCCACGATCAGTTGGTCGCCCACGTTCACATCAATCTGCGGACAGGGCCATTGGCCATTTATACCAATGACCGGCCGCTCAAATCCGTCGGGTGAAGCATTAACCCAGGTGAGGGTCCAGTTTAGGTAGACATCCTTCGCTGCCGCTAGGCCAACCCAAGTGGCCAGGGCAAACAGACTCAACTTGGCCATGTTGGCTGTATTCAAAGAGCGAATGACTATTGATGGCCTCAATCAGAGGGATGGTATAATTCCCCTAAACGAGTGAATTAGAGACCAATTCAATTAGAAAGCAAAAACGAATGTAAAAGAACGCGGTTGTCGAATCGGCGCAGGTCGGCCGCGGTGCTGGATACTAGAAGGAAGAAAACTGGACACAAGGCCTCTTTAACCATGGCGATGCCAAAACAAAGATCCTGCCGATCTGCAGGGGCCTGGGTATGCTGCTCGGGTCGGAGCCCAAATCCATGCTAGCGATGGTGTCATTGGTCGTGCCTTCATTCACTAATTCAAGGACTGGGATATTAAAGCACATAGTAGAGCAGCATCCGGTCGATCTATTTGGTTGCTTTTTTTTTTCTCACTCTGTTGAGGAATTCTGTGAGTGGGTTTGGAAGGGTGGAATGTAGATAGATCACCTACCTGGGAGGTAGTTCCTGAACTGTTACGCAAGGGGGGCATACCCCGAGTATGTTGTACTGGAGTCATGCTTGAGTTCACAGGCTCGGTTTGGAAGAACCAGAGTATGAATTTCAGTTCTTCTACTTGGTACTACTGAATAGGACCACTATACGTGGTCTTGATCGATTGTGGAGTATCATGATCGACGACTTGAGCTTCTTTGGCGAGTTATATATAAACTTCAATTAACCGGTAGATCCACAGGGGTTTGTCTTAACCCCTATCATTTGACGCATCTGCTTAAGCTTGTCGATTTTTTAGCGAAATTGAAAATGCGAAGTCGACGATTATGTTGTACATCCTCCGAGTCTATACTAAACTCGATAGCCCTAAGTCGAGCCTTCCATCCAGTTTCCTCCCAAAAAGATCTCAAACAAAGTATTAGTGAATCTGTGTAAAGTCCCTACAACATAGGAACATAGTCATACACTATTCTCCCCTACCAAACATGTCCATCTACTGTACCCCGATAAGGCTTAGACACGGATATTCCCAATCGGGCCGAGTGACGTTGCATTGAAATCTCTTTCGCCTCGCCAGGGCTGCTACAGCAAAGAAAAAAAAATTCATCTACAGCTTCACAAGAGCCCATCAACCGTTATCTAAAATCAATCAATTCCCGGAAAAAGTGGGAGATCTTCACGAGACATGTTCCCCTGATTTAGGCAAAGCAAGACACCTTAGGCTTCCCCCGTCTCTGAATAGATACGATCCCTGATCTGATAATCTTAGAAGAGAATAATCTGCTCGGAAAACGTCGGCGTGAAAAGAGAGGCTAAAAGTCCCCACCCCCCAAAAAAAAGCCCAGGAACAAGGTGTCCGTGCGTAATTAAAACACTAAAGTGTCTGATAAGCTGAGATTTAGTCAATTTGGTTGAAGATAGTGAGATTTTGAGGGGGCAAAGTGAAGTCGGAAGAGAGGGGTCATCGTCTCTTTCTCTCATCTCTTTTTCCCCCTACGTAAGGGCAGGAAATCCACAAGAAACCAATCCAAGACGATTCTTGCGAATCTTTACTGCTACTGACGACATGTGTTGATGCTTTCGCGCTCCAAATAGCATCATCGAGCTTCAATGGCGTAATGGTGTGGACCTTTGTGCAATCCTCAAAACCTCAAAAGGCACGGCACAACTTCTCTCTGGCTCAAAGCCTATAAACCGTGATATGGATCAATCCATGACTCTCATCGATGCACAAGTGCACTTCCTAGTGAGTCATCCATGTCATTTGTCTACAACACCTACTAAACCAATGCTAGGAGGAATGTGTTGTCCTGGTGCACATCCCATTGGAGTTGTACCCCTACTTTTTAAAATCTGTGATAGGACTCATTTTTGATGAAATTCCACCACTGGAAAACGAGAAAGATGAGAAAGATGATGCATTGGATAATTTCGAAAATGCCTCTGAGTATGACTCGGCGTACAACCCACCTGCATTCATGAACGTCTCCATCACTCCTGTCGAAGTCTCTGTCATGTGTCCTAGACGCCTGGTCAACAAATACTTCGTCCCTGTCATGGAAAAGCTCGACCATTTGGATGTTTCACTCCGATCGCGTCTGATCGTGAGTGAGAACGATTATATCGCCATGCAAGTCCTCGGTGAAGGCCTCGAAGCCGGCCAACGAGTATTGGAATTAACCAGTCCGCTCGCCCTGGCAGGCATGTATGTGAAATCCAATACCTTGCTTGCTCATAAAGTACATCCGAAAACGTTCCCAAGCTAATCCTCCCAAAGCCCCATCTTCTTCATCTCCACCTACTTCTCCGACTACATCGTAGTCCCAAAACAAGACAAAGCAAGCATGATATCCGCCCTAGAAAAAAGAGGCTTTCAATTCAACAACACCTCGGCAGCCTCTACCACCAGCCCACTCAGCCCAACCACCGAAAGAAGACTCAGTGACCTCATCCCACCAGAAACACCCCCACCCTCAACCCTGGGCGAACTCCAAGCCCATACCTTCGACAACCTCCGCAGACATCAAATCACCCCATCCGTAGATGACTCCCTCCGTCTAGTTCAATGCGCTGCCCATCACGAATACCACAGCCAGGAATCCTCAATGTCCATCCTCCGCGATGCCCTAACAACAGTCCTCCTAGTCGACGAGCCCCGCTTCCTCTCCCTGACCCTCGCAGCCCTCGACCCAGCAGCCTCCCTCCTGCTGGAGAAGCGTCTCCTCCCCCGCTTCGCCCGCCCATCAACTTCCTCCGCAGGGACCCGCATCTACGAAGACGGCTCCGGTCTCCTCTTAGGCTCAAAGGAAGATCACCTAGTCCCCATCACCCTAGATCTCCGCGACCTGCCCCTCGAGGCCTCCGGTATCGTCTGCGGCCTTGCAGGCCGTCTTGCGGCCGCAGCTACCCTCCCGCTCTCGTCGCATGCAGCCCCTGCCGGCGGTTGTGCGAGCAGCGTCGTCGGCTCCGTGTCTGGGTTGTTTGATTCTTTCGGTGCACGTCTAGCCGCTCTCTCTATTGATAAAACTTCTACCCCCGCCCCCGCTCATGGATTGCAGCCCTTGGCCCACTCGACACATCATCTGCGGCCTGATGTGGATGTCGCGGATGCGGTAGAAATTAGTTTCTTGAGTACGGCGCGCGCCGGCACGATCATTGTTGGTGAGGATGAACTTAGGAGGGCTATTGATGCTCTTGAGGAGGAGAAAATTCAATCACCTAGGCTTGATGGTATTGGGTTCGAGTCGAAGACACCGCCTGATAGTCCGCAGTAGCGGGTTTGAATTGGTTTCTGGTTTTGGTGATTTACAGTGCCTGGGTCAGATAGGACTTGTGGTTGGATGTGTTCATGGTTGGCGTGGCGTCTGGGTACTGAAAAAGTTTTGTTTTAACTCTTGTGTAAATGACATCTCTTGCTAGGTCGTGGATTTTCTGGGTAATCTATTAATTGGATATATCACATTGTCAATCTTGGGATTCGAAGTATTGGAAATATTTGTCGTTGTCAAATGTCAACAAACGCTTTCGGTATATACTCGCAGAGGAGCACCAACGCTAATTTCTTCAATCCAACAACTTCCACAAAAAAGACGCAAATGACGCAAGCCGCAGAGAGCTAAGTGATCGTCTAATTGATTTCGTATCTCATAATTGACATGACAGTGCCAGGCGTTTAGACAGACCCAGCGTTCCTGGCTCCAGGGGGAAGACATGGACCGACATAGTAAATATCTGTTAGTCTGCAAGATGTACCTATCTTCGCAGCCTTGCTCAGAATGGCTGCATCCCCGGGATCGTCGGGTCAACTGAAGTCTCACGTTGAACGGAAATTGACAGAGGGTAGTAAGACCGCCACAGACCTGGTAGTCTTGACCGGATTCCGGATTCTGTCCTTGTTTCAAGAGCCACGACATAGTGTAGCATGTGGCAATTTTTTTTTTTTTTTTTGCGATATTGGACGTCGACACAAGGGGAAGGACATCACCTCGTTTTGATAGTCACGCCCAAGACTTTGTCTAGGACACCTTGAACAAGTGCCCAGTTCATCCGTAGACTCTAACAGTACCTTTAGACAACAGTCAGCACAAGTCTCTCAAACCTCAACACACCACAGTACTTACCATCCGAGCACCCAGCAGCCCAATCCCCAACACTCTCATTCCATGCCACACAACTAACAGCCTTGATCTTCTCCCCAACAGGCACAGCAGCAATAACCTCCCCCTTAACAACATCCCAAGCAAACGCTGCTGCCCCAGCCGTCCCCTGCTCACTACCACTCAACACAACCGCATCCCCCATTGCAAATCCAGAACGCACCCGCAGCTCCGCATTCCGATATGAATGCTGCGGCTTCCCTATCCCATTCGCCACGGTATTCTCCCCCCCAAACGCATTAAGAAGCTTCCCATCCATCCGGTCCAGCAGCCGGATATACCCATCTAGCGTCGAAGCCAGCAGCGCGTTCCCATCGCTCGAGCAGCGCACGCTTGTCACCGGGTGCGCGAGGACGTCAACGGTCGTCTTGCCTGTGCGAACGTCGTAAACCCGGGCGTGGCCGTCGTAGCTGCCGCTCGCTATCGAGTAGGATCCCATGTGCACGTGTAGGGTTGAGACTGTGTCGGTTGCTTCGGTGAGGGTTTGGATGGGTTTGTAGCTTGAGGAGCGGGTATCCCAAAGGTTGATTGTTGTGTCTGCGCTGCCTGGAAAAAGAGGAGGTCGGATGTTAGTCTTGGCCGCTAGCTGGGAAGAGAAGAGAAGGGCGGGTTCGGCTTACCAGTTACTACGACGGAGTCACCATCGCCGGCAAATTGCACGGCTTCGACTCGGCTGTTGTGGCCTGACCATCGTTTTGTCGTGGTGCCTTGCTCGACATCCCAGAGGAAGACTTGGCGATCGCCTCCTACGCTGGCGAAGCGCGCGTTGTCCGCTGCGACGGCGATGTCGAGGACGGAGTAGCCATGCGCTTCGTATTTTTGGATAGGGGTCGTGGTCTCGACTGTGGCTGGGCTATTGGAGTTGTTTGGAACTGCGCGCGAAAGGTGGACTGCTCGATCTGAGGATCCTGTGAGGACATAGGTGCCGCCGGAGCTTGAGAAGGTCACCGCGTTGACAGGACCTGGGAGGTGTTAGCGCTTGGGGTTTGAAGGGAATTTCTGGCTGGGATAGCGTCTAGAAAGAGCTTACCATTGTGTGTTTTAAGAGTGTGGATATGTCTGGTTGGGAATATTGTCCGGGGCATGGCCGTCGAGTTGGTGAGAGAAGAGTTGGCGGAGTTGAGAGAATGCGGGATGGAGCTCGGAGCTTCAACTTCCAACTCTACTTGGAGGACTATCAGAGAGAGCACAACCATAAATCCTCACTTTGCTTTGAATCTTAGAGTTCACAGGAATTAAGTCTGTATTTCATACGGAATACAGAAGAAGTTATTATCAAGGTTGTAGACACACCATCGCTAGCTACCAGCGGTAAATGGATATAACAAACAAAAAGAACCAAGCCCCCAGACAAAGGTACTTTCAAGCGAGAATGGCAAGACAAAGGGTACTCAAAAGAGAACAAAAAACAAGAGCATGGTTTGACTACTTCCCTTTTGAACGATCCGGGTCGATTCCCGGTGAAATTGCAACATCTTAACGACGTCCATGGCTGCGGGTGACGGAACCCTGCAGACCTTCGATCTCCTGCTCGAGGGATTTGATGCTGTGATAGATTAGCAAAGAATTCACCTACACAATATTCCAGAACATACGCTGCATGAGTGGCCTCGAGATCCTTGTTGAGACGGTCGCGCTCTGAGATGAGCTTCTGCTCCCACTGGCGGAAACGCTGTTCCTCGACCTTGACCTGCTCGGTGAAGCGCTTGCGCAAAGTTTCCTCTTCCTCCTTGAACTTGGGGTTGTCGAGTTTGCGTGGCCGGGCCTCGCCAAACTTGCGGGTCTCCATCTGCTGGGCACGGTACGCCTCGTAGTGCAATTCTTCCGTGGTGTGAATAAGATCGAGCATGTGGGTGCGGATCAGGATCGAGCGGAGCTTCTTGAAGTCGCAGTGATCCTCGTTCTCCACTTCGGCGACACCCCAAGAGTACTGACGGCCCTTGACAACACGACCATCGTTGGCCTTGACGTCCTTCTCGGAACCGATAACGGAGAAAGGCATGGCAGCCATAAGGCTGCGGGCGTGGGAAGCAGCGTGCTCGTCGTCCTCTTCGATGGGTGGGGTGTAAATCTTGATGCCTTGGGCCTCAATCACAGCGCGGATCTAATCGACTGTTAGTCCGGATTCTTGAGTCCTCGTGTGCTCGTCCCACTCACTCTATCCTTGTAGCGCACCAGATCCGCGTGGCTCAGGGTATCGGCTTTGGCAACCACAGGGATCAGGTTGACGCGGGAGCTCAGGCGCTTCATCACCTCGATATCGAGAGGCTTCAGGGTGTGTCCGGTGGGGCGGATGAAGTACAAACAGGCGTGAACACGCATGTCGATCTTGTCGGTTCGGCGGGGCTGCTGCTCCTGGAGCATGTACGACTCATGCTGGTCATCCAGGAACTCGATAATGGGTTGCCATGAATCACGGTTGTTCACATAGTCTCCGAAGCCAGGGGTATCAATGACGGTGAGGCGGACTAGAAAATCGATAGTTCGTCAGCTATCGAAACGCGAAAGTCGAAATCCCTCCTCCGACACGAGAGCATTTAGGTCGCACCTTTGAAGAACTTCTCCTCGAGCTCAGCCTTGGTAATCTCAATCTCCACGGTTCGGTCGACCTGCTTCTGGTGGCGGCGCTTGTGATCGGCATAGTTCTTAATGGTGGTAGAGAAAAGGGTGTTGATGAATGTTGTCTTTCCCAATCCCGACTCTCCAGCAACCTGAGCGAAGCCCCATTAGCATCAGTACGCGCAGGGGTATTTACCTCCTGTGAAACACACCATAATAGTGAAGGCTGCACCCCGCTTCGCGACAATCTTGTGACTATACAAGCTTGATTAGAATCGTTCCTCGTATCCACCGCATTCACTGGAAAGGTACACACCGCTGGTTGGGAAGCTATATCAAAAATGGCGAGTTAGCTTCAAGATACCACTGGAGAGATGCTGGCGTTCCGAATAGCTTACGTTGGCAATGCCAATCGGCGTGGCGGTCTCTGAGGTTGACATGGTGGGATATAGGGGGGGATTAAAAACAATTCAGAATCAACACAAAAAAAGAAGAAGAAGAAGCCCCTAGTGTAGAATAAGACGTGAATTGAGAAGAGAGAAATATTTGACTCCTGAGGAGGAAAAAAGAGAAAAGGAGGAACGAATGTGAAATCGGATCTCTCTCGAACTGCCCGTCGCTGCTTCCCCCTGAATCTCCTGTCGTTTTCTGGAGTATACCTCGCCTTGCCTATCTGGGTTTAGCGTTGGAGACTAGTGCTAATTGGGACCGGGAGCGGGGTATGGATGATCCGAAGGCTCTTATCACGGTAGCTGGTGGAATTATCTCTAATTTTTTGATCTTTGAGATCGCCGACAGCCAAAATGAAGACAGACTTCAAGGTATGTATCACGCTTGGATTATTGATCGCATGCAATTTCTAGTAAGCCTTGATTAGTGAGATTCATGTTGACACCCTCAATTTTAGTTCTCCAACCTTTTGGGGACGGTGTATCGCAAAGGAAATCTTCTCTTTACTCCCGATGGCACATGCTTGCTTTCGCCAGTAGGCAATCGAGTCTCGGTCTTTGATTTGGTACAGTATGTGTCGCTCGAATGCTCTTCGCTTAGTGATTTGGAAACCAGCCCGCTCACAATCGCCTTCAATAGAAATACTTCCTATACACTGCCTTTTTCGCACCGTACAAATATCGATCGTCTCGATCTCTCGCCCAAGGGTAACCTTCTGTTGACCGTGGACGAAAATGGTCGCGCAATTTTGACCAACTTCCAACGGCGCATCGCCATCCACCATTTTTCCTTCAAAGGACGAGTGTCCGCACTCAAATTCTCCCCGTCCGGCCGACATTTCGCCGTTGGCGTAGGAAGACGCCTGCAGATCTGGCAGACACCCTCTACCCCCGGCACCGAAACCAATGGCGAGATTGAATTCGCCCCCTTTGTTCTACACCGGGATCTTGCTGCCCACTTTGACAACATTGAAAGTGTCGAATGGTCCAGCGATTCGCGCTTCTTGCTCACTGCCGCCAAGGATTTGACGGCGCGAGTTTGGAGCATGGATCCGGAAGAAGGTTTCGAGCCAACCACTCTAGCGGGACACAGACAGGGCGTGGTGGCCGCCTATTTCAATGCGACACAAGAAGTGGTATGTGCTCCCTAGAAATCCTTTCAGCTGGAAAAACCGTTCTAATTTTTTTACCAATAGATTTACACTGTCAGCCAAGACGGCGCACTCTTCCGCTGGGAGTATGTCACGAAAAAAGATGAGGAAACAATGGAAGATATCTCCGATGCCCGATGGAGGATCGTCAAGAAGGATTTCTTCATGCAGACTGACGCCAAGGTCAACTGTGCTGCGTTCCATGCGCCGACAAACCTTCTGGTGGTCGGGTTTTCCAACGGTCTATTCGGACTCTACGACCTGCCGGAGTTCAACATGATCCATCAATTGAGGTGCGTTAGTCTGTGACACCCTCCCTTCCACGGTGGCTAACATATCCCCCTCTAGTGTCTCCCAGAGCAATATCGATGTTGTGACAATCAACAAATCAGGCGAGTGGCTGGCATTTGGATCATCTAAGCACGGTCAGTTGCTGGTGTGGGAATGGCAGTCAGAGTCATATATTCTTAAACAACAAGGGCACCTTGATTCTATGAACGCCCTCGCATATTCACCGGATGGCCAAAGAATTGTCACGGCTGCCGATGACGGTAAAATCAAGGTTTGGGATGTCAAATCAGGCTTCTGCATTGTCACTTTTACGGAACACACCAGTGGAGTGACAGCATGTCAGTTTGCGAAGAAGGGAAGTGTGTTGTTCACAGCATCTTTGGACGGTTCCATTCGTGCATGGGATCTTATTCGCTACCGTAACTTCCGAACCTTCACAGCGCCATCCCGTCTGTCATTCTCCTCGTTGGCCGTGGACCCCAGTGGAGAAGTGATCTGTGCCGGTTCACCGGATTCCTTCGATATCCACGTATGGTCCGTACAGACCGGTCAATTGCTTGACCAGCTCTCTGGCCACGAGGGTCCAGTTTCCAGCCTTGCTTTCGCTGCCGATGGCAACCACCTTGTCAGTGGAAGTTGGGACCACACAGTTCGCATTTGGAGCATCTTCGGCCGGTCACAGACCAGTGAACCTCTCCAGCTCATGTCCGACATTCTCAGTGTGGCTTTCCGCCCAGATGGACAACAAGTGGCCGCATCTACCCTAGACGGTCAGCTTTCCTTCTGGTCCGTTGAAGATGCCGTGCAGCAAGGAGGAGTTGACGGTCGCCATGACGTCTCTGGAGGACGCCGAGTGGCCGACCGCCGTACTGCTGCCAATGCCGCAGGCACCAAGTCTTTCAACCGAATCACATACAGCGCAGACGGTAGCTGCATTCTGGCCGGTGGTAACAGCAAGTACATCTGCTTGTATGATGTTGGAACAGGCTCATTGATCAAGAAGTTTACCGTGTCCGTGAACACCTCGATCGATGGTACCCAAGAGTTCCTGAGCAGTCGTGACATGACTGAAGCTGGTCCCCGTGCTCTAATTGACGAGACCGGTGAAGCGTCTGATCACGATGATCGCGTTGATAGCACTCTTCCTGGCGCGAGGCGCGGCGATGCCGGTGCGCGCACCACACGCCCAGAAGTCCGCGTGACTTCTGTGGATTTCGCACCGACTGGACGAGCATTCTGTGCCGCCTCTACCGAAGGTCTCCTTGTTTACAGCTTGGATACTGACTTCATCTTTGATCCCTATGATCTGGACATCACAATCACACCCTCAAGCATCATTGCCACACTAGATGCTGCCAAGGCAGCCGCCAAATCCGACAGTGTGGATGAGGAGAATACCTTCCTCAAAGCTCTTATCATGGCCTTCCGATTGAACGAACAAAAGCTACTCCGTGTAGTATATGAAGCGATCCCTCCGTCAGATATTCCCCATGTGGTTCGGTCCGTGCCCTCCGTTTATTTACCTCGCCTTCTCCGATTTGTTGCACATGCTGCCGAAGAAACTCCCCATCTTGAGTTCAACCTCATGTGGATCGAATCTCTTTTCAGTAGCCATGGTCGCTACTTCAAGGATAACACAGGTTTATTCGCAACCGAGCTTCGTGCCGTTCAGCGTGCTGTCGATGACATCCGCGAAAATCTGAAGAGGTTGACAGAAAAGAACCTCTACGATCTCAACTACCTGCTCTCAAAGCCTGTTCTTGGCAACAAGAAAACTAGCACTGCTTTGTTGGCCATGGAAACCGAAGATGCCGAGATTCCTGATGATCAGATGGTCGATGCTGATGAGGGAGAGGGTGACTGGGTTGGCTTTGAATGATTTCTATGGGGGGTTTCTTCGTGTATGTCTACTTGCATCTGAGCCAGGCGTTTTGTATATTGCAAAGACCCAAAAGGGAAATAAACAGAGGTCTTTGCGGCCTGTGAATAATATACTCCAAGTTCCTCTGAGACCTCAAACGGACCCTTTGTCCCTTCGCCTTTAACAAACGGCCTCCCGTTTTAAAAATTAAAAAAAAAACGTCTTACTCCCAAATATTATCCGACTGTCTCCTGTGCCACCCTCTCTCTTTTACTTTCTTACTCTTCTTACCACCGAACAACTTCCTAAATCTCCCCGGTTCCAATCTTCCGGACAATCCAAGGCTCCGAAGAATCATTTATTTAAGTACCTTTCCCCTTCTACTGGGAAAGCAAGCTTTCAGATCAGTAAGCCTCAAGATGGCTCTACCCTTCTGGCCTCTCGTTGGGGTGTTGGTTGTAGTGCTCTATCTACTTCGACGACCACCAGCTTCCAGTTTGAGGCATATCCCAACTGTCAAGTATAAGACATACCTACCAGATTTCATCAATCGACTCATCTACTACTCCAAAGCTGCCTCGATGATCAGTGAAGGATATGAAAAAGTACGCAGTAGACTGGAAACCATTCCTTCGCCTGTTGACATCTTTCTGCGATTTTTAGTACAAGGATAGCCCATATCGCCTGCTCACTGGCGACGGAGAAGTCATCGTCCTGCCATTGAAATATCAGGAAGAACTGAGACATCTTCCTCCTTCCAAACTCAGTTCTCTACATGCCCAATATGAAGTAATCCCATGAGCTGATCTGTACTACTTTACGTTGAGAGGTTGAAGCTGATTTGTTACTTCACAGAATGCATTGGGCAAATATACCAATATCATCATCGATACTCTTTTGCCGTCGATGACCGTGCGGAAAAAGTTGACGCCCAGTCTAAGTATTAGCATCCTTTGGTGTTCCTGTTTTGGACCTCATGCAAGACCAGATAATTTATACATGTCGCATAGGCCGAGTCGTTCCGGGAATCATCGACGAGCTACGAGCAGCATTCGATACTGCTCTCCCAGGATGCGAAGGTGTGATATGCGAATGCTACTTCGTGGGACCAATGTTGCAGATGAAAACACGGATACTGACAGAGACGCACTGGACACAGACACTTGGATTCGAATAAACCCATGCGAGATGTTTACGCGGCTAATCGCCCTCTCGACATCTCGCATGATGGCCGGCGACGTCCTCCGCGAAAACAAAGAATGGCTCAACGTCGCAAGCAACTACGCCGTGAACGTGGGAGTCACCATTCTCCTACTACGTCCGGTCCCCAAATACCTCCGTCCCATCGTGGCGCCCTTCTTCCCCAGTGTCCGGACGATGAAGAAACAGTTGCGCTTTGCGAAAGACCTCTTTATTCCGATGATCCACGAGCGCAGACTGGCAGAGCAGGCTAAAGACCCTAATTATATCAAACCAGATGACTTCTTGCAGTGGATGATGGATCTGGGCAGCGAGAGGGATGAGGACCTCGAACCGGATACTTTAGCGCATCACATGCTGCTCTTGGTGACACTGGCTGTTACTCACACAAGTACGATGGCACTGTGCCACTGTCTCTTTGATTTAGTTACTAAACCCGAGTACATTGAGCCGCTGAGGGATGAAATGAGCCGGACTCTACCTGATGGTTGGTATAATGCGACCCAGGAAGCGCTTAAGGAGCAGTCCCGTCTTGACAGCTTCTTGCGCGAGTCCCAGCGCTTCGCTCCGCCAGGTGAATGTAAGTCTTGAAAATCACTTTTTTATGGCTGCGCCACATAACAAGCCGGGGGCAGGATTGTGATCCGATATCGTGCTCTGACCCACCTGCGTTGTCTAGTGAACTTCCACCGCATCGTCAAAGAAGCCATCACGCTCCACGATGGACTCGTTCTTCCAGCAGAAACACACATATGTTTCGCTGCCGGTCCGATTAGCAAAGATGCTGCCTTCATCAAAGACCCAAATGCCTTCGACGGCTTTCGCTGGTGTCACAACCCTCGGGACCGCTTTGCCCTGACTCCTGAGCTGGCAAAACTCGACGCTATGCTGAATGATGTTGAGAAACACGCGTCTTCCGCCTATTTCGTTTCCATCACCAGCACTAATATGCATTTCGGCTTCGGGATCCAGGCGTGTCCCGGTCGGTTCTTCGCGGCGAATACTTTGAAGGCGATCTTGAGTCGCATAATCCTTGACTATGAGTTTAAGTTTGTCAAGGATCTGAAGGGGAAGAGACCTGGTAATCTTGTAGTTGGAGAGCATATTCTTCCGAACATGAGTACTGAGATGCTGTTTCGGAAAAGGCCTATTGAGCTTTGAGTGGAGGGGGAGACTTGGGCGGATTTCCGGAGAATGTTGCTTGTTAGGGCTACCAGGGATCGACGCGCCATGCCACACTTTGCCTACAGTTCATGCTTTACGCTTTGAAGGTCCCAGACTGGGAAATACGAGGATCGATTTGTGGTTTCAATTCCATCGTACATTCATCTTCAATAGAGATAAGCACTGTCTTGACACACACGTCGAGACTGGGTGCAGATAGCTAAAAGCGTCCGTATACATACAGGGTTCAATCCAATCGTTCCGTCATATCGTCGCTCTCAAGTACTACGTCCCTCATTCACTGAGGGGCGGGATGAGGCGCACCTCGCCCACGACCTCCTCTGCCACGGGATCCATTACCACGACCGCGACCACGGCCACGTCCTCGATCCAATCCTTGCGGCGGCGGAACGTGAGAGTAGTTCTGCGGGCGGAAGTTGGGGTTGTTTTGGATAATACCTTCGCTAGGGTCGCCGTTATCCACTATGACATATCCGCCGCGGGCGCCTCCCCGACCGCCACGGGGGCCACGGGGAACACCGCCACCATTGGTGTGGGGACGGAAGGGGAGAGTAGTCTGCTGCCCGTTGTTGAGACCCAGACCCCCACGTCCTCCACGTCCAGCTCCACTGCCCTGTCCGGCGACAGCGCCTCGGAAAGAACCTCTCAGGGGTGGAGGGGCAGCCGCATTCCTCAGTTGTCCCTGTCCATGAGGACCAGTGGGGGCGCCGTATCCGGCGACTGTCAATGGAGTCTTTATCTGCTGAGTTTGCTGGCTAGTTGTAGCACGGGAACTGGTGATAAGTTGTCGATTGGAGATGTTGAGAAGGGATGATGCTAAAACAGTTTGGCCACGGAATGGTGAGCATCGGCCACCTAGTGTAGTGCCGCTCATGAACGAGACATCAAAGACAACATCAAGCAAAAGTGCTCGCGAGGTTCTGGTGAGACCGACAACAGTGCCACGAGTGGCGATCGGCACTTTACCAGAATCTTGGGCATAAACAACCCGATCTCCAAGCTTGAAGCTTTGGTTCCCCAGACGGTGCTCGACATCGGCAGGCCGAAGGAGGGCACTCCGAGGTACACCCCGAACCTTCTTCGGTTGCATATCTGGCTGGGACGCATTGAGAATGTCAGCATCGTGCTCAATCAACATCACAATATCCGAGTCAAGCTGCTCAGCGTCGAGGGGCACTCTCTCGAAGTTCTTGGCTTCTATGGATTTGAGCCATTCCTTAATCTCCTTCATCTTGAGGGCGGCAATTTCCTCAGGATAGAAATCAGTCGGAGAATAGCGGTCACTTTGAGGGTTGCGTTGGATACCAGCAATGAAATCGGGGAATTTGATCATGTACTGCTGTAAAAGTTCCACTGCCTTCTGGCTAAATTCCCAGCCGGATTCTCCCCGACGAGAGTACCCAAGAACCTTCTGTTGCTTTGCCTGGAACTTCAGGTTAAGACCAAGGTTCGCACGTTGGCCTTCGATGTCAATGGTAAAGGAAGATGTGATCTTAGCCAGTACCAAGGGATTTAGGCGAAGACTACGGGCAACGGCGTAAGAAGGCATGTAAGGACAAAGTTGTTCAGATGCCCTGACACGCTCTCGACCGAATTCTGGCTCCCGACCCTTCACAGCCGCGACCAATCCATTAACCTTTCCGTCTTCGTGTCCGCCAACATACACAGGTCTTCCGTAGTTGAAGTCGCCTAAGAAAAAGGCACGAGAACCCTCTGGGAATTCTTCTTGAATAGAGAGAGCTTCCCGCTCAATGAAACGTTGGTCAGGATTGATCACGTCATCAACGACAACCTGTAGAGCATAGTCCGTCTCTTGGCCGGGTATCTCAGCGAATTCCTTGATTGTGGCTCCATCGTCTGTCTTGCTCATGCCCTTCAGAAGTTGAATGTGGACCAGAGATTCGACATCACCAATGATGATAGCTAGACGCTTGCTGTAGGTGCCTTCGATCTTGTTGGCCTTCCTCTTCCACTGCTCAATTTGCTGGGGGGTGTGGGGAACAGCCAAGGGGTGTTCTTCTCCTACAGGGAGAACATAATCAAACAATTCATCCGAGACACGAACCACAAGGGCTTCTTGCAAGAATGGATAGCCCACATGGACACGCTTCCCAAGTTTCGTCTTAGCCAGTTCAACGCTCGACCGGCTTCCCGGATCAAGGAGTGTAACGACCTGGCTCTCGTTGCGGCTGTCTTGGTTGAACACGCAGACGCCATGGAACCCCAATTGGCCATGGTGTGGAAGTGTCTTGATGCTAGGAAAGCCAGCAAGCGCTGCCTTGCCTAGGTGCACGCCATCCATTAAGCCAGCGTAGGGCACCAAACCATCCATGACGGGGAGGTCGAAGAGGTTCTCAATGCAATGACAGCTTGGAAGATCCGGGAATACGCCAGGCATTGAGGAGGGGTAAACAAAGTTCACATCTGGGGAGTAAGTGAATTTGAGACAAGCCCCAAAGTCGTTCCTTGCCTTTTCGTCTGCGGAAAGTTGGGTTTCTTTCGTTTTGAGGGCATCCAACAGCCGCTTTTCGTCGATGAATGGGATCTTGACAACAGCTTCCCATTCCATCTTTTTTCCGTTCATATCGAGATCGAAATCACGAGGGTAAAAATCATAAATGGGGGAATCAGGCGAGGTCATCAGGTCCCAATAAGCAGTAGGCACAATCTTCTTACTGCGGTCGGGCAAGACACCCATAAGTTGATCGAACGGCCGGAAAGGCTGTCCCAATTTGAAGTCCATGTCAGCACCAAGGCCATCATTCACATCTGTTCAATCGTCAGCAATCAAAACAAAAAAAAAATTAGAACTACTAACCAGATATCATAGGGGCATAATGGTACTGGAAGAACCAAGGCCACGATGCAATGCCACGGTAATAGTAGAACAAGACCCACTGCAATCCTTGCACATAGTTTTGCGTCAACTTCTTCATCTCTTCCTTATTATCGAGGCCCCAGCCGAATTTGGTCCGATAGTACTTATCTTTCCATTCTAGGAACTTCGCGTCATACTTCTCCTGCGCAGCCTTCTGCGCTTCCTCGGCCGTCATATCCTGAACTTTGGCCTTCTCATACTTCCGAATGATACGCTGAACAGCCATCGATGCCTCCTCGTCCTCTTCATCGTCATCGCTATCACCCTGGGTTGGGGGCAACAAGAGCCGCATGAAACGATCGCCGTTCTCATTGTCGATAGAGGACCAAGACAACCGAAGTTCATCTGCAAGTCGTTCGACGAAAGTGCGGTCACGAGCTGGAAGTGTAGGAGGGAGGTCAAGAGGTTCAGAGGCCTTGTCAGGCCGATTTAGAACGTACTTCTTGACTATCTTAAGGATCTCCTTCTGGGATGGAGTGAGTGTAAGCTCTTTCTTCTGTTGTGAGCTCGAAAGGGTAACGTTTGAGTCTTTCTTTGATTTGATCCACTGGGCATCAGAGTTTTCTGCCTCAAAGAAACGGTATTCCACAGCGCTGAGTGCGGTCACGAGCATGCCCAACCGTTGCACATTGATAACACCCTGCTCGTTGATGTAGCCGCCCATCTTTGGCAGCACCTCCTTGTAGAGCTTGAACATGAGGGCAAGGGCACCCTCGTTGATGTGTAAGTTGGGCAAGTTGGGCAAGAAATCGTTGCCAACAAAAAATGCCATGAGAATGAAATCATCAATCACACGCTCCAAATCGAATGGGAAATCCAGAACACCTTCTTGTTCTAGCTCTTGGAATTCTAATTCCAAATACTCCCGGACCACGCTCAGATGCAAGAGATAAAAGTTTTGATGTTCCAGTTCTTTGGACTTCTTGGATACTTGACGACCAAAGGTCACTTCCTCTCGAAGAAGGCAGAAGTGAGGGTCATGACTAAGGAGACCCAGCATGATCAGATCGGCGTCCAAGCCGTAAAGACAGTGACGAACGTTAGATTCATAGTCGGGCTGCGCTTTCGAGCAGCGAATGTATTCCATAATCTTGTGCTCGCCTTCTCCTGGAACCTCATGGCCAGAGAGAACAATTTCCACGCCTTGCCAATCTGTATCCTCCGAGATTTTCTTGTTGATGAAGTATTTGAGTTGTTTCGTCAGTTTCTGCATGAACTCGGTACCCGGGGTGATGCAATTGCTGTCAAAGGCATCTTCCTTTGGCATCTCCAGGCCCTGCTGGATGGCCTTCTCCTTCGCGTTCTCAGCATCCAGCGCCGTTCGGAATCGCCGAGCACGTTGTTGATTCATCTTCGCGCGAGGTGCAACACCATCTACCGCCATATAGAACAGTTTCTTGGGCTTGATCTTGCCAAATAGATGTTCAATGTAATTGAAGATGGCAATGAACATTTGATCTTCCGTCATGCGAAACGTCGGGGAATCGCTGTCGCTATGCGTACAATTGTGAATAATGCCGTTCATGTCGAGGTATAGGCTATCGAATTCGGGTATCCGACTCTCTGCGATCAGCATCGAGATAGACGGATACCGCTCACTCAGCCAGCGGAAGAATTTCGGGACACCCATGGTGAAGACTAGGTGAGATTGAAAACAGTATCTTCAAGAATGGAGTTGGCGTGTAATTTATCGTAAAAGTTGAAAGATCGTATGAGGGGTACTTGTAAAGGACTGAAGTAGAATTGCGACGAAAGGTGAAATCATCCAATGAAGAAATCTTGGACAAGATACTGCACCAATCAAGTAATCCCCAAAGAAAGATATAGGGGTAGGAACGTAAAACAAGCACAAGAAAATATAGTGACGCCAAACGGACGCTTTGCAGTTGTCTATGATGCAACAAGCAGGTGTCCCCACGATGTGAACGTTGAAGAGTCAACGAAGCTTGTTCACCGCCTACTAATTAGGACTAGTGCCCGTGTAGGCCCTCCCAGCACTCATTAACGCGCATCAGCGCGTCGCCTTCCTCCACCTACCTATCTGCTCCACACACTCTTCCTAGGTGGTTCGAGTTGTTTAATCTCGTGATTTCAATAT